GTCGCTCCTCCTGAAGCTCTCCTGCTCTGACACGTCCATCAATGAGATGATGATTCTGACTGAAGGTGCCCTGATCATGATCACCCCGTTTGTTTGCATCCTGGTGTCATACATCCACATTGCCCGCGCGGTCCTGCGAGTCCCGTCCACCCAGGGGCGCTGGAAGGCCTTCTCCACCTGCGGCTCCCACCTGGCCGTGGTCTCCCTCTTCTACGGCACCATCATCGCTGTCTACTTCAACCCTTCCTCAGAACACTCGTCTGAGAAGGACACTGCAGCCACAGTGCTGTACACGGTGGTGACCCCCATGCTGAACCCCTTCATCTACAGCCTGAGGAACAGAGACTTGAAAAGGGCTCTTGGGAAGGTGGTTCGCAGGAAGACGCTTTCTGTCTGATGGGAACCAAAGCCGTAGCTCACCCTCCTGCTAGGCGGTCCCGGGGGAAAGGCAGCAGCGATCTTGTTAGTGACACTCTGGTAACCAGTATTGATGCATCGATTATTTATTTGTGGTTCTGGTTACCCTCCAATCCCTTGTGTCTGCTGAGTAACAAGACTGCTCTTTATGACCATCTTTTAAGTTATTTCGAAACTGAGCCAAGGTTTTCCTTTTTCAAAGTTCTGTCTGGAAGGGTGTATGCTGCATATATTTTTTTTTTATTTTAAAGATTTATTTATTTATATAAGAACTGGGTACAGGCCAGATGTGCAGTAGGTGAGAGGACTCACCAGAGACAGAGTGGGGAACAGAATAGGCAGACTGACAAAATACACTGCTGAGAGGAGCATCAGGCGAGACAGGAGAGGTCTGCTTGCCATGTGGGTAGCTCTGAGGCCAGCTGGGATTGAACCAGTGCCTCAGAGGCTGAGGACAGCTTCACAGCGCTGCGCTCCACCTGGTGGCCTGGGCCACCAGGGAGGCCCCCACTCTAACTTTTATTTATTTATTTATTTATTTTTTTTAAGATTTATTTATTTATTTATTTACACAAGCACTGGGTACAGTCAGAAGCGCGGGAGGGCGAGAGAATTCACCAGAGCCAGAGCGGGGAGCAGAGCAGGTAGAAGGACCAAAGTACACTGCTGAGGGGAGCAGCGGGCGGCAGGAGAGGTCTGCGTGCCATGTGGGACACTCCTCCGTTGGCTGGGGAGCTGCCGGGATCAAACAGGTGCTGCAGAGGCTGCAGGCTGCTTCGTAGCCCAGCGCTCAACCGCTGCGCCACCAGGGAGGCCCCACTCTAACTTTTAATTTGATCCTTTTCACTTGAGAAGGAGTTTACAAACTCTCCCTATTTGAAAATATATCATTCATGGCCTCCCTGGTGGCGCAGCGGTTGAGCGCTGGGTTGCGAAGCTGCCCGCAGCCTCTGCAGCGCTGGTTCGATCCCCGGCTGCTCCCCGGCCACCGGAGGAGGGTCCCACATGGCGCGCAGACCTCTCCTGCCGCCCGCTGCTCCCCTCAGCAGTTACTTCAGTCCTTCTGCCTGCTCTGCTCCCTGCTCTGGCTCTGGTGAATTCTCTCACTCTCCCGCGCTTCTGACTGTACCCAGTGCTTGTATAAATAAATAAATAAACAAATCATAAAAAAAAATATATCATTCACTAGTTGGCAGATCACCCGTAGACACTGTGGAACCCCAGAAGCCATAAACAAGGAAACTGAAGCAAATGGTAACCTTGCTGATTCAAGACGCCCAGAGATAGATGCTCTTAAACAGAGTCTCACAAGAGACGGCCGCAGACTTCCCGGAGAACTTTGTGTTCTGATAGGCTGCTTCTTTCTGCAGAGCCCTCCGAGGTCTTTGAAGTGAGATTTCAATGCACAATGTTTTATCACATGGATGCAACACACGTTATTCATTCACACAACGGCGAGTGTGTCTGCAGGCTACACAGCGCTGCCGCACCCTTTCTGGTGTAGAAATCGTTGTGTCCTTCAGTGGTCACCGGCCAGACCATTTCTCCAGCTTAGAGCACCCATTAGGTGATCTGTTTGTTATTTTGTCATTGTTTCTGCCCGGCCCTACCTGCCATGGCTAGCAGAAGACGCGAGCGCTCCCAGTGTCAGACAGCGCGGAAGCTTGCTCCAGGTCGGGCGTCCTGGCTCGCCCGTCCCACACATAGGCAGCAGCAGCAGGAAGTCGGGCTTGAGACTGGGAGGGGGGATTGTCTGAGCTCAGGTAGCTGCGCTGTGAGCTTGTTTGGTGGGCGGCAGAATAGGTGTTTGGGGGCCACACTGGGACGCACTTATGGCCTCAGGAGACAGCTGTCTGACTTCAGGCTTCCCTCATCCTCCATGAAAGCGTGCCTCTGGCCGCGGTGGCCATTCCCATGGCTCCACTTTGTCAAAACGCCCTGTCCCCGCTCTGATCACCCAGCTCAGAGGTGCCCTCTGATCCCCTCTGCATCGGACACCCCTTCTGCACCCCTGGCGTCTTCTCATGGGCAGTGCACTCCAGCCCGGCTTTGTCTACGACGCAGCTGTATTTGTGAAGTAGAATTCAAGTGGGTGCATGTGAGGATTAGAATCTGCGGTCACTTAGGGATGTCAATAGCGATTTACGTACTTGATCTGTGAAGTCTTTTAATTAACATTTCAATGATTTTTTCTATGTATTAATAGCTGCTCCTTTTTGATTTGTGTTGGGCTGCCGGGAGCATAGAGGATTGTGAATGTTGTGCATTCGTTATGGGGCATACCTTTTAGTGGCCCCGAGATCTTGTCATTGTTAGTCCAATTTTCATCTTGAAGTATATTTTGATTAATGTTAACGTCACTAGCGCGACTTTAATTTGGCTTATGTTGGCTCATTCTCTCCAGCTGTATGAAAGAGTTGACTTGGACGCGGGAGTTTCCCGCAGGTCAGGATTTTATGATGTTTCTTTTGTTTCTAGAGCTTCTGATACAGGTGAGAAATGAGAGTATCCCACATCCACAAGGACAGTCAACAGACAATGCCTCATCTTCCAGCCACTGTTCCAAACAAACAAACAAACAAGTGAACAAACAAACCAAACTTTCTGAGTCTAAAATGAACCCATGTTGGTGGGAGGCATTTCTCCGCGGGTGTCTTGCCTTTTGTGAACAGAAACACTCGCCGCTGCTGTCCTCGGCCATGTCCTCAGGCATGTGTGGATGGCAAATGGCCTTGGAAGATGAGGTGGTGTGTTTCTGGGCAGGGGTTTCACTGTCCCCTGTAAGGAAGATGATGGCTCCTTCTGGGTCAAAGGTCAGGCACGTTTACTCCCACGGTAAAAGGTTTGATTCCCTCAGCTGGAGGCTTCCCCTCTATGACCATCCGCTGTGTGTACTCTGGCCTCACGGATGTGCTTCTGTGGGGCTGGCACTGAGGAACCCGATGTGGATACTGATATTCCGGCTCCTTCTCTTGCTGTAACACAGATTCTTTGTCTCTGGCCCCAGGGCCTTTGTTTTCTATCAGATCCACGAAGCTGGCAGCCTCGCTTGTTGGCTTGTAAGCGGGGGCAATCTCAGACTTCACAGTACTTGCAACAAGGGAGGGGATTTTACATGAAGGTGCTTACTGGGACCCAGAACCACGCTTATATGGATTATACGGTTCCATTTGGAGAGTCATTCCAAATTTTATGTATCTGGAGGCCTGGAGTTTGAAAATCACAGCGTGAGGGGTTCTGGAGTCCTGAGTCTTTGGGCTGTGTATTGAGATTAACCCAGTAATAATCAAGGGGATCTCCCTGGTAGAGCAAGGGGATAATCTCCCTGCTATGAAGCTATCACCAGCCACTGCCCTTTGAGTTCGATCCTGGCCAGGGAGCTGAGCCATATGGCACAGCAGACCTCTCCTGTCACCCTGCTGCTCGCCTCAGCATTGTATTTCTGTAGACCACCGGTTCTGCCCCCACTCTGTCTCTGGTGAATCCTCTCCCCTGCCAACACCCCAGTTCTTGTATGCATAAATAAATCTTTTTTAAAAAATACTCTCCGCTTCTCTTCATGAGCTGCTTAGGAGGTGGGTGACGGAGTGGCGAACAGGGGTGTGTAAGTGGAGACAGTCATACAAACTGTGTGTACAGTTGTGTAATGTACACTATTAATGTGTGTCAGTGTTACTGTGTTTTCAAAACAGAAAACAAGAATCAGTGACTCAGTAGAAAAGACAAAAGAACGGTGGGTTCCAAATCGCAGAAGTGATCCTCTCTGGAGCCTGAACTTCACAACTTAATCACGCCTGTCTCGGTCTCGGTCTCACGTTGTCTACACACGGGTCGGGTCGCCTGAGGCGGCAGTACGCCAGGCCAGCATCCCTGAGGCCCTCCTCCTGGGCTCCCTGGTCGGCCCACAGAGCCTCCTCTTCATGCTGTCCTTGAGCCTGTCCCTCCTATGGTCAGACCCCAAAAAATCAGGGCGGCCAGAATTTCTTGTTTGTTCCAGGAGCCTCTCAAGATTTGCCTCCGAACAGCCCGTCCGTGGGAGGAAGGCGTCTGACTGAGCCGGCCGCCCTCCCGCCCCCGCCCCGCGGACCCTCCCTCTCGGCAGGGGCCTCCCCCCGCAGCGCGTGGACGGGCGCGCAGGCCAGCTCTCCCCACTTTCGCCAGTGGAAGCAAACACGTTGCTCCTATTTTCCAAATCAGCCTCTTCGCCTGCTTCGCCCTCGGGAGAGGCCTGCGCGGGCGAGGGGCTTAAACAACGTCCATTCGCTTCCCATGATGGGCGCTGTGTTTACATGACGTATTGCCAGAGTTCTCGCATTCATTTTGCTTTTGGAAACAGCGCGTGGAAGGCCGTGGAGGGACCGCCGAGCATGTGGGGGGCCCCTGACAGGGGCTCACGCCCCGCCCACGCACGGCTCCTCCACGCGGCCCCGGGGCGGCCGGGGGCGGGGCAAGCGGGGCCGCCGCTGCGCCAATCAGAGGGGACGCCGCTTGTCCCGCCCCTGCAGGTGTATTATCCAATCACAGCGGCGTCCCACCCGCCTCTGCGCGCCGCTCCCGCCAGGTCGGGGGTCGGGGGTCGGGGTCGGGGGTCGGGGCCCCGCGCGGAGCCGGCTCTCGCGGTGAGTGGCTGAGGAGACGCTCTGGCTTGGGGCGTCCAGACCTGGCGGCCCCCCAGCGCCCCGCTCGCCCCCGGCGCGCCCTCGGGTCCCTGCGCCGGGGCCCTTCCGGTGGGCCGAGGCCGGGCGCGGGCGCGTCGAGGCGCCGACGCTGCGGAGACGCGCTGGGGGGGCGCCTGGGGCGCGGGCGGCCCGGGTGACAGAAACGCGGGCCCCGGGCCCCCCAGACCCCGGGCGGCCTCACCTCCGCTTGCTTGACCTCGGCCAAGAGAAACCAGCCGATTGGCCCACACAGTGGCTTCCCTGGAAACCGCAGGCCGCGAGGCCGGGCCGGCGCGCGGACGCCCGGGGGCTGAGGTCGCCGGGATCCGCGGGGAGTCGGGGCTTCTCCCCGGGGGTAACGAACGGCGCCCCAACCCAGCGGCGCGGGCCGGGCCCCCCTCTGCTGGCCGACCTGCCCGACGAGGAGCGTCAGTCCTGGTCTGACTGACCGCGGGAGGAACCGTCTTCCCGCCCTGGGGCGGGGTGGGGAGTCGGGCGAGGGAGGGGTCGGGCACAGAGGGGGTCGGGCACGGGTGGGGGGCGGTTGGGCGCGGGGGGGGGGGCGGGGTGGGTTGGGCTGGGCGGGAGGTCCTGGCCGGGCAGCGCTTGGGCAGGGCCCCGAGGGGGTCAAACCGCCCCAAGACTCGGGGTTTGGGTTACGTGGCAGTCGCGCCGCCGCAGCAGAGTCGGCCGGGCGGGCGGTGAGGAGAGCCGGAGCGGGCCTGGCCCCAGGGCCCGCGGCGAGGCCATCGAGGCAGCCCCTGCGCGCTCGCGAAGCCGCGTCTCAGCAGCGGCCTTTATTCCCCGCGATCCCTTCCCTCCCGCCGAGCCGGCTCCTCACACGCGGACACCGGCCCGCGCTCAGCGGGATTCGAAGGCACAGAACGCCGGCGGCCTCGCGGCGGGAGTTGGACGTGGAAACGGGGGTTTTCCGGCACGCGGGGGTGGGTCCGGCGGGAGGGGGACGAGGTGGAGTCAGCCAGAGAACGTGCCTCCTGCGGGATAGCCGGGCCCGGGTGCACCACGCCCTCCGCAGGCTGACGCGGTGGCACCATCTGGGCGGTCTTGCAGCAGCGGGACCTTCGAAGCGTCGCCCCCATGTTTCTGAAAGGTCTTTATTTAAAAAAATGTTTTTCTGCTTAACCTACCAAGACTTCGTATTTGCAACTAAAAACTGAGTGAGGCCAGGATGTAAGCGATGATCAGAAAAGGTCCTGAAACTGAACACAACGGCCACCGGCCCTTCTCCAGCCCAGCTCTGCTTGCCTCCGGACCGCGCGTTGCCTTTCTCTGTGGACTGTCACTTCTCCATCGGTGAGGCAGTCGGGGGAGCCCACGTCTAGACTTGTGTTTTGGGTGAAGTCATGCTGAGAATGACCCTCACGTCCTTAGCCTGTCAGGTTCCTTAATCCAACCGTGAATCCGCACTGGCAAGCAAGTGGTGGAGAACAGTTTGGGCTGCTGGAGATCATACTCCTGTGACTCTCTGGAGGAGGAGACCGTTCTTCAGAAAAGGGGAGCCACTGTCAGCTGGGAAGACAGCCCCAAAGAAGTCTACTCTGGGAGTCTGGAGTTTCTCAATCATGGCCTGCTCTGCTCTCCCTGATCCATCTCTCCCCCAGTGGCAAACTGCTTATCCTTTATACCTAGTGCTTCACTCTCATGCCACCCATCCCAGCGTCCCTCTCTACACTGGCCTCACTGTCTTGACACAGTGAGTGACCTGATATGAGAGTCAGGTAAAATTGTATTAACCCTGGTTTATGAGCTATGACTATAACAAAAATATTTTAATAACTGAATTTTTAAATCCATAAACATAAGCCCAAATCAGCAAAGTGATGCCATTTGAAGTCTCAGGGAATTTTCTCCGGAATGTGTCTCCACCCAGATGGCTTTATCTCCAATTCTGACCCCAAAGTAAGAGGATATAGTTTGTCATCAGTGTTGGGTCCAGAGGGACCAGGAATCAGGAGGGAAAATTACTGTTACCTGTCTGTAACAAGGCTCGCAGGGAATGTGGTCCCAGGGGCACGGAAGCTCCTGTAAACATCTGTCTCTAATGCCCCCAGACAGCCTTCCGGCACTGAGAGCTGAGACCGCACACCCTGCTCCTCACTCGCTTTGCACCTGCCTGTATTTCCAAGATTTTCCAACCCTTATAATACAGAGGCGCACTGGCCATTTCCTCAAGGTGATGAACACTTAATAGCTACAGCATCTGCTTCTCCTAGGTAAGGTTGTAACTGCAGAGATATCAGTGTTTCTTGACTAATGAGAAATTCTTTGAGGAACCCCCTTTGCTAAACCCAACTTCAGGAGTAAAAGTCTTGAATCCATCAGCCGGAGCTTGAAACGTGAGCGTGACCACCTGTTTCTCTTGTGCCTGTGATCTGCCAAGCAGCAGCTGCAGGGCTGGGAATGTTAGAGCAGATAAAGGCCATGGAAGACTTTGTATGTGTCTGTGTATTGTTTTCATGTTATGCTTTATAAACTAAAAAAAAAAAAAAAGCCTGGTGGGAACTGGACTCATCTAGAACCAGGAATCGGAAGTTGAGGATGTAGGGACGAAGGACAAATCCTGTGTGAGCAACTCTAATATAGTTTGTTAACATGAGCGTAGCTGGAGCTCAGATTGTTACATCGAAACCTTGATCTTCTAGGTTTTGGACCCCTGTCTTTTTCTCCTGCCTCTGGGCCCAACCCCATGAGAGCAGCCAACCAGTCAAGTGTCTCCGAGTTCCTGCTCCTGGGGCTCTCCAGCCAGCCCCAGCGGCAGCAGCAACTCCTGTTCATCCTCTTCCTGACCATGTACCTGGCCACGGTCCTGGGGAACCTGCTCATCCTCCTGGCCATCAGCGTGGACGCCCGCCTGCACACCCCCATGTACTTCTTCCTCAGCAACCTGTCCTTCGTGGACCTCTGCTTCTCCTCTACCACCATCCCCAAGATGCTGACCAACCACATCCTGGGGAGCCAGACCATCTCCTTCTCGGGGTGCCTGGCGCAGATGTACTTTCTCTTCATGTTCGTGGACATGGACAACTTCCTCCTGGCCGTGATGGCCTATGACCGCTTTGTGGCCATCTGCCACCCCTTGCACTACTCTACCAAGATGACCCCTCGGCTGTGCGCGCTGCTGGTGGCCGTGTCATGGGTCATCGCCAACCTGGACGTCCTCTTGCACACCCTGCTGATGGCTCGGCTCTCGTTCTGTGCAGACAATGCCATCCCCCACTTCTTCTGTGACGTGACGCCCCTCCTGAAGCTCTCCTGCTCTGACACGTCCCTCAACGAGATGATGATCTTTATTGAAGCAGGACTGATAACGCTTGCTCCATTTCTTTGCATCTTGGTGTCATACATTCTCATCACCTGCGCAGTCCTGCGAGTCCCGTCCACCCAGGGGCGCTGGAAGGCCTTCTCCACCTGCGGCTCCCACCTGGCTGTCGTTTTGCTGTTCTACGGCACCATCATCTTTCTGTATTTCAACCCGTCTTCCTCACACTCACCTGACACAGATATAGCAGCTGCTGTGATGTTCACAGTGGTGACCCCCATGCTGAACCCCTTCATCTACAGCCTGAGAAACAAAGACATAAAAGGGGCTCTTGGAAAAGTGATTGCTATGAAATTCTTTTTTACCCAATAATAGAAGGGACCAAGGGAAACATGGAGGGAGCTGATTTCTAAAAATATCTTGTTTGTTTTTCCTGTTGTGTGAAACTTAATACTTGTGTTCTGTAAGAAACAACGCTCTTCTATTTGGGGAGAACGGAACTTCTGACACAAGCTCTCCAGTTAAAGTAGGAGAGAGCCTTTCATCAAATAAGTCGATTATTTCTACATCAGTGCTCTCAAGTCAGAACCCACTAGCAACACACTTCTAGTTGAATCATTTAAGAAGGTGCTAGAAAGGAATTAATATATAACCTGGGCTTGTGTGAATGAATCTTAGTGAGGTTTTGAGGAATTAGATCTTTGCTCTGGATTACATGCTGTCACAAAGTAGGGATACTTCTGACTGCGTCTATTTATGTATTTTATCTAGAAGGAGGGCAGTCTGGTCTGAGGCTAAAGCTGTGATTGACAACAGAGCAGTCATATCAGCCAGCTTAGGCGAGTGTTTGGTCATTTTTGTGGTTTGGACAACGTTCCTGTTCTTGTGTTCAGACATGATTAAAGACTGGCCCTGTCCTGCTCCTTCATGGCCTTAGATAGTGGCCTTTCTGCTACTGATAGTCCGTGCAATTCTCTGTGTTCATTAGGGGGGCTTCGGACTTCGCCGAGTCCAGGTCAGCTCCCGGGTGTCAGGGCTGCTTGCTCTATTAACTGAGGCAAGAGGTGTGAGCACCTTCTAGTAGGAGGGTCTGGCTAATGTGGGGGCTCGAAGGGGCAGGACTCATTTAGGGCTCTAGTTCTGCCTAGTTCTGCCCTGCACTCAAGCTAATTTTTTTGCTTATCTGAGTCTTTGGTATCATATAGCAGCCCACCGGGAATAGGAATATGCTGGAAAACAGAAACATCTCCCACAATCTCAGTGCCCAGCCTCGTCAATTAGTTGCATTTTTTCATCTCCTTCTCCACCTATGTAAATGCACTTGGACATTTATATAGTTAAGAAACTATTACTTCTAGGGGAAGGAAGTGAATATTTGCAAAACAGTAGTTTATTGCAGTGCTCAAACAGATACAGCCCTTGTCCCTATGGAGATTACATTCTGGTAATAATTTTAAAGAACTAAAAAGTGGAGGTAGTGTCACTTGAATGGTGATTGACCTTTGTCAAATACTCTGTGTCTATTAAGGTTTTTCATCTTTCATTTTCTTAATGTGGTGTATGACCTTTAGTGATTTGCATGTGTTGATCCATCTTGGCAGCACACGGATAAATCCCACTGGACTCTAGTGTATAATGCTTTCAATTAATATGCTATTGAATTCGTTTTGCTAGTATTTTGTTGAGGAGCTAATGGGTCTTTATATCATTTGCTGTACTTTACAACTACAGAATTTTCATTTGGCTGCTTTTTTTCATATTTTCTATCTTTTTATTACTCTTTGATGGGGTGTTTTCAGCACGCTTTCATTTCTTAATCATATTTCCTTTAGTTCTGTGAACATTTTAATAATGACTGCTTTGAAATATTTTTCTGTTCTAGCTGACATCTGATTACTCTTACTGGCAGTTCCTGTTGCATGCTTTTCTTTAGATGTCAGTCATAATTTCCTGTTTCTTTACATGCCTTTTATTTTTTTCTTCAAACTGGACATTTTATATAACATATTGTAGCATCTCTGGATATGCTTTCCTCCCCACTGGGATTTGTTATTTAACGACAGACTGGATGGATTATTTTAGTGAAGTTTATTCCACCTCACCCCACACTCACTTGGTGTGAAGGTCTTGCTTTGTCTTCTTTTATATAAGTAAAATGTTTTATCCAGTGCTTGGCGACATTGTGTTTCTTCGCAACTCTGATACCAAGATGCGGACAGCATGAAAGTACAGAAATCGGGCCTCCCTGGTGGTGTAAGGGGTTGAGCATGGTGTAAGGGTATGAAGCAATCTATGAAGCAATCGGCAGCCACTGCAGCACGAGTTCAATCCCCCAGCCGGCCAGGGAGCAAACCATATGGCACAGCAGACCTCTTCTGTCTCTCCCACTGCTCCCCTCAGCAGTGGATTTCAGTCAATCTGCCTGTTCTCCCCATTCTGTCTCTGGTGAATCCTCTCACCCTCCGCACTTCTGGCCTGTTCCCCAGTTCTTGTATGCATAAATAAATAAAATTAAAACAAAAAAGGGCCTCCCTGGTGGCTCAGCAGGTTGAGCACCACTCTGTGAAGCTGTCCGCAGCCTCTGCAATGTGGGTTTGATCCCGGCAGGTGGGCAAGAATCCCACATAGCATGGCAGACCTCTCCTGTCTCGCCCCTGCTCCCCTCAGCAGTGTATTTCTGTTGCCTGCCTGTTCTGCTCCCTGCTCTGTCTCTGGTGAAACCTCTCACTGTCCCGCGCCTCTGGCCTGTACCCCAGCTCTTGTATAAAAAATAAATCTTTAAAGAAAAAAAAAAAACCCCACTAGCCTATTTAGTTGGCACATTGTTCACGTATTATGAAACAAGCTGTGTTTGAGGAACATTGAGGTTGTGCCAGTGTTTTGTCATCACATCTCTACTGCATAAGACATCCTTGTGCATATGACTTTGTTCACCTGTAAGAACAGCCGTACAGAGTAAGCTATTGAGGCGGGAAGGGTCCTAGGGCAAGCACAGGCAGGACTCAAGGGCAAAACATTGCTTTTCCCGTGGACCGATAAAGAAGAGCTTACAAACCCTGGAGACTACACCCGCACTGCACCTGCTAACACACATTTCCTGGGTCCATTGTTTTTATTACTAATTTTCCCGCCTGGGCATTCATGAGCTGTCTCTCTACAGCTTTTCAGGTTGGCTGCTCTGGAGAAAAGGAGTTACAGACCAAGAAGAGTCATAGACCTTGAGTGCAGGCTGCTCAAACTGGAGCTGCAGGTACAGAGCCCCCATGAAATGTTCACCGTGATGATGGGCATAAGCCCCGCATAACCGCCAAGTTGTGGTGCTCCCGGGTGGCAGTAATAAGTGGACTTTACCCAAGTCTGCTCCTCTTGCTTTCTCAGCCAATAGTTTCATTCCTTTTTTCTCAAACCCCAATTCCTAAAACCCGTATGGACCCTTAGCCCTGGCTCTACAAGGAGTCTCTCATGGTCAGCGGGGTTCCCCAAGAGCTGATGCCTTGCTCTTTTGCTAATCAGTAAATGCTGACCCGTGGCCACCTTCGTCTGGAGGCCTCTTCAGTCTTGACTAACAGGCCTCAAGCCCTTTTCCCTGACTTGGGACCAGGACCCCATGGGTCCATCCCTCTGATTGCTGGTGGGTGGGGTGTCAAATGGAGACTCGTGTGCTCCTAGCTTAACTGCCCTGGGCCTGCTCCCTTGTCCAGTGACACTACCTCCATTTTTTTGGTTTTGCAAATATTTGCTTCCTTCCCCTTGAAGTAAATAGTTGCTGATTCTATTGACTCTGGGCTTGTCTGTGTAGCTTGCCCTAAATGGTAAAATGTGACTCTAACATGAGAAGAGCTCTTTAAATAAGCTTATGCAACTTTGCTTCTTGCATTCCTATAATCACCCCAAGAAAAAACATCTGCCAAGTAGCTGCTGCCCCTTTATTCCAAGCTCCAAAAAACAACATGTGAATCAGATCTGAATCCATCCTGAAGTCTAAAATGAAGTAGAGCCAAGTCAACCATAAATTTAAGTAATTCCTTAATTTTGTCAAATGTTTACAATTCTGTTTTTTTCCTTTTGGATTTTTAAATTAGGCCTCTAAATCTGCACATCACAATTGGTTATCTGCCATAACTATCATTTAGATGATTAATTCCCCGCCTATATATTTTGTTCACGATTGTGATATGTTTGTTGAAGAAACAGTAGTTTGCCCAGCAGAGTCTCTCCCAGTCAGCATTTTGTTAATTGCAGCTCCATGGTGCCATTTAGAGGCTTCCTCTGCCTCCTGTGTTTTCTGTAAAATGGAATTTGGATCTAGAGACTATAAAAGATTTGAATTCAATTTCTTGGCAAGATTATATCTTAAATGGTGTGTTCTTCAATAAGAAGGCATGATGACTGGTTGTCTTTTTTTCTGATGTTAGCAGGAATTGATGCTTAATGCTGAAATTGATTCATTGTTGTGAATTATTTGATTATTCAACTTAAGTGATTTGCAAGATAGTAATTATTTAAGCTTTTTTTAGTATTAGTCACTGACTAGAATGTTTCTATAAAGAGATACTTCCTCTTATCTGCTATTTGGTTTCCCAAGAGTTTGTGTACATAAGATAGGATAGATGTTGGATTATTTTCCTTTGTTTATATGTGTTCAAAATAATCAGCTAATTTCAATAACAATGTTATCATTTCCAATGACAACTAGTTAATTTCTTAAAGTATAGTTATATACCAGAAGATTTAAACAGTTACTGTCGGTAATTGCACATTGATTCTCAGATTATCCACTCTTTATGAATTTAATAGATTGTTTCAAGTACTTGATCTGTTTCATCTAGGTTATCAAATTTATAGGCATAGAGGCATTAATACATTCCTGTATTAATATCCACAGGATTAGTTGTGACGGCCACTTTTTCATTTGTCATAGTAATTTGTACCTTCTCTCTTTTGGTGCTGGTTAGCTTGGCTAGAGGTTTATTTATTGATCTTTTCAAAGAACCACTATTTTACTTTGGTGATTTTCTCTATATTCCCTATTTGTAATTTTGTTGGTTTGGATTGACTTTCCTCTTAATTTGTAGATGTTAAGGTGGAAATTTAGAGATTTTAGATTTTCTTCCTAATACATGCATTCAATGCTATCAATTTCCCTCTGTGTACTGCTTTCCTTGGGTTCCACACATTTTGATGTTATATTTCCATTTCGTTTAGTGCAAAATATTTTAAAATTTGAGACTTCTTGATCCATTCGCTATTTAGAATGTGTTGTTAAGTCTGCAAATGTTTTGGGATTTTCTTGCTCTGTATTATTTCTAGTGTAAATTCATTGTTATCTGAGAGCATGCTTTGGTTTCTATGCCTTTAAATTTGTTGAACTTTGCTTTATGATCATAATGTGGTCTGTCTTGATAAGTATTTCATGAGCTTCAGAATGTTTTTGTTGTAGGGTGAAATATTCAGTAAGTGTCAATTATATGGATAGTAAGTTGTTCTCCACCCCAGGCCAGTGTCAACGGTCTCCAGAGGTGGGCTACAAGCACTGGTAATTTTGGAACTATTTGGTATTTCTCCTGTGTTCCTAGTGTTGGAAACCTCTGATGTAGAGACAGCATTGGCAGAAGAGACAAAAGGGCTAAGGACTGAGTCCTGAGGCACTTGGACATTTACAACACTGGCTTTCATCTTGGCTACCAAGAGGAATCAACTGGGCATCTTTAAAAATTATGCCTCGATCTCACCTCTATAAATTCTTGATTCAGATTTTTTCTGGGCTTCAGAAAATCCACAACACATCCAGGTGACTCTAGTGGACAGCCAAGGTTGAAAACCACTAACTGTTGAGGAGAACACAATATAGAATAGAAAACAACAAAGGAGCAATCAGTAGGCAAAAAGCCAGGAGAGGGCCTCCACGGTGGCACAGTGGTTGAGCGCTGGGTTGCGAGGCTGCCCGCAGCCTCTGCAGCGCTGGTTCAATCCCCAGCTGCTCCCCGGCCACCGGAGGGGGGTCCCACATGGCGCGCAGACCTCTCCTGCTGCCCGCTGCTCCCCTCAGCAGTGTCCTTCGGTCCTTCTGCCTGCTCTGCTCCCAGCTCTGGCTCTGGTGAATTCTCTTCACCCTCCCGCGCTTCTGACTGTACCCAGTGCTTGTATAAATAAATAAATAAAAATAAATCTTTAGGGAAAAAAAAAAAAAGCCAGGAGAGGGTGATTTTTAAAAAGAGTGACTGGTAACACGCCACAGAGAATGGGCATAAGACCGACTCGTACTGGAACGCTGGCATTGGGGGAGTCGGAGGTAAGTGGTGACCGAGACACAGGCAGTTGCGTGGTGGGGTGGAAGGTGAAACTGGAGTGGCTTCAAGAGACAATGCAGAGGGGCCTCCCCGGTGGCGCAGCGGTTGAGCGCTGGGTTGCGAAGCTGCCCGCGGCCTCTGCGGCGCCGGCTCGATCCCCAGCTGCTCCCCGGCCACGGGAGGAGGGTCCCACATGGCGCGCAGACCTCTCCTGCCGCCCGCTGCTCCCCTCAGCAGTGTCCTTCGGTCCTTCTGCCTGCTCTGCTCCCCGCTCTGGCTCTGGTGAATTCTCTCACCCTCCCGCGCTTCTGACTGTACCCAGTGCATGTATAAACAAAACAAACAAATAAATAAATAAATAAAAACATGCCTCTATAAATAAAAAAAAAAAAGAGACAATGCAGAGGACATGACTAACGATGACTAATGAAAAGCAGTTTTAAATTTTGCATTATGTGTATTTCCATGTTTATTCAACCATTCAGGCTTAGTTCTTTAGTACTGTATCATGATTTTCCTTGTATGTAAGATAAATGACTGGGTCAAGGTGTTTGTTTTTAAGTATTATTTTCACAATAGGTAGATGCTATCATCTCGTTTTTTTGGCCAAGCTGGATGTTTACACATCGAGCCTGCTCCAGCCTGCGCAGCTCGTGCTCCTAAAACACATCTCGTCCTTTCAGCTGCTAATTCTTGGATTAATACTAAGGTTGACCATTCCTTGTGTTGCTGGAACATTACCTCGCCCTCCCTATCCTTTTGGTCTTAGTGCAAATGTTTTTTCCCAAGAGACCCCTCCGGAAACCCACTCTCCTCAAATCCTTCTCTTTTTCAGCATTTGTCACAGCAAAGGCTACGCATTTTCAGATTTACTGAATTCCCATCTTCTACTCCCCCTGCCCCAAAGCTCCATAGATGTTTTGTTCCCCTTTACAACCAGGGTCCTGCTGTTGCCTCTTTAGGGGATACACACCTGTTTGTAGTTGCTACTAGAATCAAATCCTTCCTCATTTTCTAGTTTCTAGCCAGTTTTCTAGCTTGCTCTTGATCTTAGAAAATAATTTGTGTTCATTAACTGGTTATCAGGTTCCTTATTGAGCATTTACTAACAGCTTCTCAGCACGCTGAACTTTGGGGGCAGCTGACCATGGGCATTGCCAGCCAGGTGCACCTGGCTAGGGGGGCACGGCTCTACAACCCTGAGAGCAGGTATGTGGAAACCACGAGAATGGGACTGAGGCTGCCAGCTTCAATGGCACAGGCTTTTTGAGGCCACCGCAGTGGGGTTATGGATGCCTCCCTGGTGTAGGGTTGTGGGAGCATCACATGCCTGTACCCCTTGGGAACGGTGTGGTCTGACCATCGGGGCAGGGGACAAGGCATTCTGGCAACTCCCACCTTTTTCTTTACTACTTGGCAGTCACTTTGCTTCTAAATGTTACGTGGCAGCTGGCCTCTGCATGGTTAAGTAACCAGGTGCACCTCTACCAGCCCACTGGGGGAACTGGAGAGAATACTACTGGTGACATTCAGTTCTGTCCCTAGGTCTGCAGGGCTGTGTAGGCATGAAATACAAAGTCTATAATGAACAATTTTTCTGTGACTTTTAAGTGGGTGTGTGTGCTTTACCTAGGACTTGCAACTTCACTGGATCACAAAATTTCCTTCTTTTAATATTCATTGTACTAAAACAAAGAACTATGTATTATAAAAAATCACACGAGATAATCCAAGAAACAAGGCCTCCCTGGTGGGGCATGGAGTTAAGCAGAGCACTATGAAGCTATCCGCAGCCACTGCAGTATGAGTTTGAACCCCAGCAGGCCAGGGAGCCTACCCAGTTTGCCTGTTCTGTTCCCCACTCTGTCTCTGGTGAATCTTCTCACCCTCCACACCTCTGGCCTGTACCGCAGTTCTTGTATGTATAAATAAATCAATCTTTTCTTTTAAAGATTTATTTGTGCACACTAGAGCTGGGGTACAGACCAGAGGTGTGGGGGCAGGGTGAGAGGACTCACCAGAGACAGAGTGGGGAACAGAACTGGCAGATGTACTGAAATACACTGCTGAGGAGAGTAGCAGGTGAGTGAGGAGAGGTCTGGTGCACCCTGTGGGTAGCTCCCTGGCTGGGGATCGAACTCGTCCTGCAGTGGCTGTGGACAGCTTCACAGGTTGTATCTTAACCCCTTACACCACCAGGGAGACCCTAAATAAAAAAACCTTTTCAAAAAATCCAGAAAACAAAAAGACCAATAGGCAGAAAATAAAACTATTATTTGCAGGTGGTATAGTTTTTATCACAAATTATATCTGAGAAGTTATTGAAAATTAACATTCAGTGAGGTGGCATTTCAAATAACTAAAATTTCCTATGTAAGAGTAATAACTAATTAGAAAAGTATAATGGAAAAAAATTACAATAACAAAATTGTGTAGCATGTGAAAACGAGAAAAACTTACTCAAGAATATAATACTCTAGGGACTCCCCTGGTGGCGCAGGTGGTTGAGCGCAACGCTGTGAAGCTGTCCGCAGCCTCTGCAGCGCTGGTTTGATCCCGGCCAGCAAGGATCCCACATGGTGTAGCAGACCTCTACTGTCTCGCCTGCTGCTCCCCTCAGCAGTGTACTTCGCCCGTCTGCCTGTTCTGTTCCCCGCTGTCACTGGTGAATCCTCTCACCCTTCTGTGCATCTGGCCTGTACCCCGGTCCTTGTATAAATTAATTAAAAAAGAATATAATACTCTAAGCTAATAGAAAGGCATATTTCTAGATGGGATACAAGATTGTAAAGTTAAGTTTTTCCCAAGTAACTTTTATCAAGCAAAATACAAATGTGAAATTTTGGGAGATTTTTTAGAGTCAAATCAGTAAAGAACCTTAAAATGACATGAGATTGGTCCCATGAAGGCACCACTGGCCTTGTATCTGGAAAGACAAATTAGAAAGTTCTGGATAGCAGGAGACCAAAGAGAATAAATACCCACTCTAGTGAAGATACTAGAATCCTGTCTCTTGAAGGGCAATGTGAGCTAGCTACTGGAGAAATAGCTTCTAAAACAAAAAATCTGACGGCTGCTTAGAGAACTAAATATAAGGTTCTTGACCAGCCTTGGGCATGAACCAGCATCTCCCACCCCTAGATCTATCTCTCTTCAAGTTCTTGGGGTTTCCTTCCTAGCAGGGTTTCTTCTTGGCTCAGCAGAACAAGAGTTTGAAGAGGTTTTCCAGGGCCTCCCCGGTGGCGCAGCTGTTGAGCACTGGGCTGCGAAGCTGCCCGTAGCCCCTGCAGTGCCGGTTCGATCCCCGGCCACCATCAAGGGTCCCACATGGTGCGCAGACCTCTCCTGCAGCACCCGCTGCTCCCCTCAGCAGTGTACTTCGGTCCTTCTGCCTGCTCTGCTCCCCGCTCTGGCTCTAGTGAATCCTTTCACCCTCCCGTGCTTCTGACTGTACCCAGTGCTTGTACAAATAAATAAATAAATCTTTAAAAAAAAAGAGCTTTTCCAACTGTGAGTTTGTAGCCAGTCCTGAGCAATCCAAAATCCATTTGGCAATTAAAAGGCATGAGAGTTGTCTGAGCAATTAATAGCTGGACAAAATGTGGCAAGAACAGTAAACACTTTTAATTATATTGTGAAAAGGATTTCTGTAAAACAGTCGCTTTTCACCAAACTGCAATTTCTGAACTGATTAGTTTAAATCACATACAAATGACAGTAAGTCTTTGATATTCAATTGCTGTTTTTCTACATCCAAAGAGTAAACAATCCCCTTCAACAATTATGCTTTAATGAGCTGAGGGTCATATGAATTGCTAATAGCTGTTGGCTTAAGCAATCAGTAGTGCGGTTCTTTCAGGTACAGAATTTTGGATAACCTTTGCATTATTTCTCTTTACTCAAATTTGAAGTCCTATATGGGGTGTGGGGGGGAATGGATAACTTTTAGTACATGAGTCATGCTGTTTACCTTGCAGCAGATAAGCAGTCTCCAAACTCACATTCAAAGCCTTTCTAGGGAAAGGGATTGTGACCTTACATTGTTGTGTACACGTATACACACACACACCCCTCTCATTAGTCCAAAAATCTGGATGCTGAGGTATAGCCCTTGAGTATGTTTTCTTCCCTGTGAATTTTCTAAAAATTTGAGGTTTCAGCCAAGACAGGTATTTATCCAACTTTGGCTACAGAGGATTTCACATTCCTTATCAATATTTCAGGCTGAGGCAGGACCATCAGACCTTTCTCGATCCCACTTCTGTTTTTGGGTCTTACATGCCAGCTGGTTTTTTTCATGCCGGGTACAGTTTGACAGTCGACCAAATCTTCTCCCACATCTTTTGCACCCATATGGCCTCACAGCCTCATGACTCTGCAGGTGAAATAAAAGTTCTTCACTACCTGGGAAGGTTTTCCCACATTCTGGACACTTAAATATCATTTCCCTTAGATGGATTCCCTCATGGCGACTCCGATGAGAATTCTGGCGAAAGTTTTTTCCACACTGCGAACATGAGTAAGGTTTCTCCCCTGTATGGATTCGTTCATGTTTATTAAGGTTTGTTTTATGATTGAAGCTTTTCCCACAGCGACTACAGTTGTAAGGTTTTTCCCCAGTGTGAGTCCTCTGGTGGGAAATAAGATAAGAACTTTCATTAAATTGTTTTCCACACAGCGGGCAAGTATACCATCTTCTGGTTTTCCGATTTTGGGTAAGCGCTATAATACTGATATCCACAAATTTTGAGAGTTCCTCTAACGGAGAATCATTTTCAACAGTAACTAAAAGATCATTCATTTTCCTTTCCTTTGGAATATATGTTAGTCTTTCTTCTTCATGGCAAGTTGGAGGTTGCTCAGAGACCATGGAACAATCTATTTCATCACAATCCAATGACTCTTCTCTATGATCTTCATTCTCTACAGATTCCTTCTGAAGATCTTCAGCATCAGAATTACTGTTAACTGTTAAAACAATGAAATCACTTTTGAGAAATATGACACAAGGCAAGAAAATACTCGTGTTTCTCATGAAACAACCACCTTGAAAGTCAAAAATCTGATGGCAGCTAACTACCATCAATATTCCTTTTTTAATGAGGGAAGAATAAAGAACTGTAAATCTTTTATCCCACATAATGCAATACACAGGCCTCTTTTTTTTTTTAATGAATAGAACTGTATTAAAAGGTTTAATGTTTGTTTTCTGAATAGGCACCAGTTACTCATGCAAGTTCATACTGCCTTACAGGCTGTGCCATGCACTAAGCTAAGTACTAAGGGTGAAGGACACAAATATTAAAGGGTCCCATCTGTAATCTTCAGGGGGTGACAGTAAGATGAATTTCTTCCAGGTTTTTGCTCCACAAAACAATTCAGCATTAGACAACACTAGAATATCCTTTGTAGTGAAAAACTTGAGGTAATTTAAATGATCAAAAATAATGCAGGCATACCATATTCACACAATGGGTTAATATTTAGGCATTAAAGAAACTAACTGATAAAATGAAACTATGGTAGAAGTCAATAATGGTGTTTTGAGGGGAGGTGGAGTGGTGACCGGGCAGTAGGTGTAAAAAGAGGGGTTCCTGGGGTGCTAGGGATAGTCAATTTTGAGTAGTGGTTAAATAAGCATGTACTTGGTATAAAAACTTGAGCTGTTTATGACAGATAGACATCTGTATTTATATTATACATCAAAAAATGTGTGTAAAGTAACATTATAAAGATTAGGCAACAAAGGGGGCAGGGAAGTATGCTGTGAGCATACCTGACAAATGACAAGTAGCCCCTAAACTCTTGGGAATTTAATGAAAGCAAAGAGTTAACTACTCAGATATAGTTGGTCTTAAAGCTGGAATGTGAATCTGTGCGAGGTTTAGAAATTTCACACCAATAGATTTCTTTTTCATTAGTTCTTCAAATTATTCTCTTCAGATAAGGAAAATGCTGGTCAAAGCACATGCCAGTTTTTATCACAGCAGTAGATGTGAACTGCCATACTGCTTTCCAAATAGTTTACATCAACTTTTTTAGAAGTTTACTTTTTTTTTTTTTTGGCATAGAACTGGGGTGTAGGCTAGAGATACAGAATGTGTGTGTGTGTGTGTGTGTGTGTGTGTGTGTGTATTCACCAGAGACAGAGTGAGGCCAAAAAGGCAGATTTACTTCAATACACTGCTAAGGGGAGCAATGGCGAGACAGCAGATGTCTGCCCTGCCCTACGTGGGTCAGCTCCCTGGCTGGGGACTGAACTAAGGCCGACTTAACCCTTAGGTCACCAGGGAGGCCCAGCTATACCAAGTTCAATACTACCATCAACATATGGGTTACCAATTTTACCTAATCTTTCCAGCATTAGCGATAACTGAAAAATCTGTTATAAAATGGTTTCTCATTGTTTCATTCTATAATTATGAAAACTAATTTATCCACTTAAAAAAAAAATATTTATTTATACAAGAAGTGAGGTACAGACCAGATGTGTGGGAGGGTGAGAGGACTCACCAGAGACAGAGCGGGCAACAGAGCAGGCAGAATGATGAAGTACACTGCTGAGCGGAGCAGCAGGCGTGGCAGGAGAGGTCTGCACGCCATGTGGGACCCTTGCCGGCTGGGATCGAACCAGCGCAGCAGAGGCCGCGGACAGTTTCACGGTGTGGCACTCAACCACCTGCACCACCAGGGAGGCCCTATTTATCTACTTTTATACATTTACTTTAATCTGTCAATCATCACTGATTTTTTAAATTGATATATCTCACTGTAACTCCACAACTTAAAACCAGGGAGAAGGGCCTCCCCAGTGGTGCAGCGGTTGAGCGCTGGGTTGCGAAGCTGCCCGCGGCCTCTGTGGCGCCAGTTCGATCCCCGGCTGCTCCCCGGCCACCGGAGGAGGGTCCCACATGGCGCGCAGACCTCTCCTGCCGCCCGCTGCTCCCCTCAGCAGTGTACCTCGGTCCTTCTGCCTGCTCTGCTCCCCGCTCTGGCTCTGGTGAATTCTCTCACCCTCCCTCGCTTCTGACTGTACCCAGTGCATGTACAAACAAACAAACAAACAAACAAATAAATAAATAATACATGCCTCTTTAAAAAAAAAAAAAATAAAACCAGGGAGAAAAAAATCAGTCCAATCTCAAAATCTGATAAAGTTCTGTTTCCTGGCCATTATTTTTAGTTAACTCTAATGTATTTCAAATTTACTATGACATGATTGTTTTGTAAAATGTCTACTATTGGTAAGACAAGTTAGAAAATCCACTGCTAACTTACAAGTCTTGACCCTATTTACAAATTTGTAGAAATTTGGATGTCACTTGTATCTTTATATGCTTTTAGTTTTCCCATTTAGATCCAGTATCTCTTCATTTACATTTACCAGTACCTCTTAAGTTTATTTAACTACATTATAGCAGTTTAAGAATGCTGTTCATGGGCCTCCCTGGTGGTGCAGGGGGTTAAGCACTGCATCATAAAGCAGTCCGGAGCCTCTGCAGCACGAGTTCTATCCTGGCCGGCCAGGGAGAAACCCACATGGCTCAGCAGACCTCTCCTGTCTCATCCGCTGCTCCCCTCAGTGGTGTGATTCAGTCATTCTGCCTGTTCTGTTCCCCAATGTTTCTGGTGAATCCTCTGACCACCCCCCCATGTCACTGGCCTCTACTCTCTCACCCGTGTCTCTTGTATGCATAAATAAATCTTTCAAAAAAAAAAAAAAAAAAGAGGGCCTCCCTGGTGATGCAGCCGGTTGAGCACCATGCTGTGAGCTGTCTGAAGCCTTTGGAGTGCTGGTTTGATGCCAGCCGGCTGGCCGGCGAGGATCCCACATTGCACAGCAGATCTCTCCTGTCTCGCCCACTGCTCCCCTCAGCAGTGTATTTCGTCAGTCTGCCTGTTCTTTCTTTTTTTTTTTTTTTTTAAACATTTATTTATTTATTTATTTATACAAGCACTGGGTACAGTCAGAAGCGCGGGAGGGCGAGAGAATTCACCAGAGCCAGAGCGGGGAGCAGAGCAGGCAGAAGGACCGAAGGACACTGCTGAGGGGAGCAGCGGGCGGCAGGAGAGGTCTGCGCGCCATGTGGGACCCTCCTCCGGTGGCCGGGGAGCAGCCGGGGATCGAACTGGCGCCGCAGAGGCCGCGGGCAGCCTCGCAACCCAGCGCTCAACCACTGCACCACCGGGGAGGCCCTAGTCTGCCTGTTCTGTTCCCCACTGTCTCTGGTGAATCCTCTCACCCTCCCACACATCTGGCCTGAACCCCGGTTCTTGTATGTTTGTATAAATAAATAAATAAACAAACCAACCAACCTTAAAAAAAAAATGCTGTTCCTTTATAATTTATTCCCTGTCAATCTTCCTTATAATTAATATTCTTGTAGTTAATCCTTTTAGATTTTCTAAGCACAAATTGTATTTGGTTCCCTCCTCCAAATTTTTTCCCCATTTTTAAAGGTTTGTTTTTATTTATGCGTACAAGAGCTGGGGTATAGGCAGAGAAGTGTGGGGAATGAGAAGATTCACCAGAGACAGAGTGGGGAGCAGAACAGTCAAATCTATTGAAATCCAATGCTGAGGGGAGCAGCAGGGAGACAGGAGAGGTCTGCTGCGCCCTGTGGGCATCTCCCTGGCTAGGGATCAAACTCATACTGCAGTGGCTGCTGATAGCTTGATAGCACTGACTTTAACCCCTGTGTGAATTATTTTCAATTGTTGTATTTCCATGCATAGAGATGAGTACAGTATGTGTGGACACACGGTATTCAACAAGTCCTTTGCAGAGACACTTGTTTTAAACCTTGTTATTTTACAAACTTTTTATGAATGAGTAATAATACATCATTTTGAATGTATGCTGCTGCTTAATGTGTAGTTAAGATTCCCAGAAGTGGAAATGCTAGGTCAGAAGGCAAGTGCATCTGTGACAGGGATAATTATGCAGGGATTGTATCACTCTACATGCTTACCGGCAATCTGCCTGCCTCCCAACATCTTGCCATCAATGTTTCTAATTTCAATAAATCTAACAGCTAAAAAAAAATGGCACCCAGGGCCTTCCTGGTGGCACAGCGGGTTGAACGCAGCGCTGTGAAGCTGTCCACAGCCTCTGTGGTGCCGGTTCGATTCCCAGGCAGCCAGGGAGCTACCCACAGGGCACAGCAGACCTTTCCTGTCTCCCCGCTGCTCCCCTCAGCAGTGGATTTCGGTCCTTCTGCCTGTTCTGCTCCTTGTTCTGTCTCTGGTGGATTCTCTCACACTCCCACGCCTCTGGCCTGAACCACAGTTCTTGTATAAACAAATCTTTAAAAAATAAAAAATTAAAGAAAAAAATGGCAACTCACAGTAGAGGTTTAATTTGCATTATTACCTATGAGTAGAGATAGAAATCTTTTCATAAGTGTATGGATATTTCTAAGCAACTGTTATCCTTCTCTCCCATATTGCCAGTTCTTTATAAATTAGGAGTTACAACACCCTTTACCAAAAAATTCCTTTTCACCTTGCAGACTGGAAATGCCAACTTTACCATACACTAAGTCACCTTGTGTATTTGCGGCTATCTCTAGACTTTTTTATTCCATCCCATGGGTGTGTCTGCTCATATGCTAATACTATACTATTTTTACAATGCGGGCTTTATAGGCTGCTTTAGTATCTAATAGGACTGCAAAACCTCTATCCCTCTGCTTTTTTTTTTTTTTTTTAAGATTTATTTATGTATGCATACAAGAGCTGGGGCTTAGGCCAGAGGTGCAGAGGGTGAAAGGATTCACCAGAGACAGAGTGGGGAGCAGGACAGGCGGATCTACTGAAATCCACTGCTGAGGGGAGAAGTGGGGAGACAGGAGAGGTCTGCTGCACCCTGTAGGTAGCTCCCTGGCCAGGGATGAACTCGTGCTGCATGGCTGCCGACAGCTTGAAAGCGCTGAGACGTAACTTCCTGCACCACCAGGGTGGTCCTGCTCTTCTTTTCATGGCCCTTGTTAACTGTATTATGCTTTCATTTGAATTTGAGATTATACTGCCTAGTTCTGAGGGGATCTGAGGAAAGAAATACTATTGGTATTGCTAGGATTACATAAAAACTCATAAGCAACTTGCAAACTGACACTTCTATGCCAAGCCTTCCTTGCTAAGAGAACACGGCAGTCTTCCCATTCATTGGCTGCTGCTACTTCTGTGTTCCTGAGAAAGAGTTGTATTTTCCTCAAGTTTTTACATGTTTCTTAAGTTTACTCCTAGGTGGTTAATCTTTTCTCACCTATTTTATACCTGCTAAATGATTGTGTTTACTTGCACGAAGGCTCATGATTCTGCATATTTTACATCTCATTGACTCACTGAATGCTCTCATCATTTGCATGATGTTTTCAGACATTCCTTGGGCATTTCCCAGCTAAACAATTATATGTAAATAATTTCGTTACCTTTTCCTCAAATTATTATATATCTAATTTACTTCTCATTTAACAGCACTGGCTAATACTGGAATCACACATAAACAGTGGTAATGACAGTGGATTTCACTGTTGTATCCCTAAATTTAGTGGGAACATGTCCCAGCGTTTCCTGTTAAAGATAATGCTTACTTTTTACGTACACTGCTAAGGAAACATCCATTAATTACTATTTTGTTAAGTGAGTTCATGAAAGAATTCGTATTTTCTCAAATAGTTTTTCAGTAACTGAGAAAACAGAATTCTTTTTAAGATGGGGTATATTACAAGAATTTCTATTAAGTCACTTTCGCATTCCTGGAATAAGTCTTTTTTTTTTTTTTAAATTTATTCATTCAGGCATATAAGAGCTGGGGTACAGGCCAAAGGTGTGGGGATGAGAGGACTCTCACACCAGAGACAGAGCAGGGAACAGAACAGGCAGATTGGAATACACCACTGTGGGGAGCAGTGGGTGTGTCAGGAGAGGTCTGCTGCACCATGTGGGCAGTTCCTTGGCCAGGGATCGAACTCGTGCTGCAGTGGCTGTGGATAGCTTCACAGGTTGAGTCTTAACCCCTGCGCCACGAGGGAGGCCTTGGAATAAGACTTATTTGGCCAAGGCAGTATTAGGTTTTATAGACTAATTTTGTAAAAATTAGTAAGTTTTCTTACATTCTGAAAATTTTCATAGCAATTATCTAATTTTTAAAAATTTACAAAAAACCTCCTATGGGCCACCCCCAGGGCGCAGTGGGTTGAGCACAGCTCTGTGAAGCTGTCCGCAGCCTCTGCAGCACAGGTTCGATTCCCAGCCAGCCAGCGAGATTCCCACTTGACGCGGCAGACCTCTCCTGTCTCCCCGCTGCTCCCCTCAACAGTGTTTTTGGTCGTTTGCCTGTTCTGCTCTCCACTGTCTCTGGTGAATTCTCTCATCCTCCCATGCCTCTGGCCTGCACCCCAGTTCTTGTATAAATAAAAATCTTAAAAAAAAAAAAAAAACAACTTCCTATGTAAGTGGGGCTAGTCTTTTATCTTGGAGCAGGGGGAGGTTTTTGACAACCTTAAATTCCTTTATGGATACTGGTTTATCTATTTTTGTTTAAATATTTCTTGCTAGTTCATCTATTTTTAACTTAATGATTTATAATTTTGTATTTTAGTTCCTTCTGTGTTTTCCTTTAATTTATCCTGTTGTTTCCCTAACTTGACCAGGCACTTAAGTTACTTTCATATTCCTATATTAATGTACATGCCTTCACAGGCATAAATTGTTTTCTGAAGACGACTTTAGGCTATACTATAGATTATGATGCACGACGTTATCAAGGAAAATCATGCAGTCTGTCTTTCCACTCTGACTTAACTTTAATAGCTTAAAATTTCCCAGATAGAAGCAAGTTTTATTTTGATATCATTAATTTATAGCTGTACAGCACTGTGACAGATCTTATGGTATTATTTCTTTTTAAAGATTTTATTTATTTATATAAGAACTGGGGTACAGGCCAGAGACTCAGGAGGGTGAGAGGATTCACCAGAGACAGAGTGGGAAAAAGAATAGGCAGACTGATGAAATACACTGCTGAGGGGAGCAGCGGGCTAGACAGGAGAGGTCTACTACACCATGTGGGATTCTCGCCGGCTGGCCGGGATCAAACCCATGCTGCTGAGGCTGCAGACGAGTTCAAAATAAGGTTCAAGCCTTTATACTTTCCCTAGGCAAAACTACCAAAAGTTACTATTTAAACTATCTAAATAGTGATAACTCCCAGATTTGTATAGTCTTACACTTGAACACCAATCCCCATTTCCAAGGATAATGTCATTTTATTTCCTGCCACAATTCACTTTCATCTAAAATCAAACTAATCCTTTTCCAAGCTTTGCCTTGGGTCCATATCCTGCCTTGACATTGCCAAAGGTCTTTATGGTTACACAAGTTTCAAACTGCTTATCGTCTTAGGTGAATGGCTGATCTTGCAAACCAAATTGGAAGCTCATGGAGGCCAGAAAGGGAGCATTATGGATCTCTGTTTTGTAACCACCTGAATATTAACTCTAGAACCCAATGCTACCTAATGGAAAAATAAGTTTTTTATAATTCCCTTTATACCATTTTCATTCTTGTGGTTTCAGTTTACCCAGGATCAACTGTGTATTGCTGAATACTATATAGTAAGACATTTAAAAAAAGAAACCACATTCACCTATTATTTTTGTATATTTTTACCATTCTTTCACTATCAGTTATGATCATCTCTTCTGGGCTAACTTATAAATTAAGCTTTATTACAGATATGTATGTTCAGAGAAAAAACATAGGCATCTACTTGAAGTCTTGGAACATTTCCCTTCCACCCCCACTGCAGTTCAGCAGGGACTGCCGTACTAAATGTTGGTGAATGACTCTAAGGTCAAAGAGATTAAGTCTCAGGGTTCTAAGGTACAAAGCCAAACTACTCCCAGAGTTAGCAAGCAGTCACCCGAAATTAATGCTAACTTTTCTCAAGGCTCAGTATAACAAAGCTGACGAAGTACACTGCTGAGGGGAGCAGCGGCTGTGGCAGGAGAGGTCTGCACACCATATGGGACCCTCGCCAGCGTCCGGGGATTGAACTGGTGCTGCAGAGGCTGCGGGCAGCTTCACAACCCAGAGCTCAATCGCTGCACCACCGCGGAGACCCCTCTAATTTCTTTTTAAAGATTTATTTATGTACACAAGAACTGAGATACAGGCCAGAAGTAGGGGACTGGTGAGAGGATTCACCAGAGAGAGAGTGGGGAACAGAACAGATGGAATGACTGAAATGCACTGCTGAGAGGAGCAGCGGGAGACAGGAGAGGTCCGCTAAACCATGTGGGTCACCTCTCTGCCTGGGGATTCAAACTGTGCTGCAGTAGCTGCGGATAGTTTCATAGTGCTGACACTTAACCCCTTGCACCATCAGGGACACCACTCAACTAATTTCTTAACTTTTCTCAGCTTTAGTTCCATCATTTGCAAATTAGTAATAATTCCCACACCTCCACAGTTAACACATTGAGAATTACATAAAAAATACATGTAAAATATTCAGGCTAATGCCTAACACATAAAAGCATCAAATTGCTTATTAAATGCCAGATATTATGTGGAACATGTTTTCACTTTGTTATTGAAGACAGGTAAAAAAGTCACGTTTTCAATGAAAACATGAAATACACCTGTTGTGAGAATAGCACTGGAGCCAGAAAATAGATTCAGAAACAGGCTGCCTGTACTTTTTATCTGCTTAAATGTGATGTTAGCACATCAACCAGGTCTTGCTTACAAAGAGAAATCAACAACTCCCTCACCGCCCCCAAAATATAGGGAAAATGGGCACCCACAGCTGGAACAGGTTCTGCCACGGGAATGAAAAATGAAACATGTGTGCGCATGTGCTTAGCTGGTACAAACAGTGTCTCCCAAAGTCTGAGATGGAGTAGAATGACATACTTTTCTCAAAGCATACACTCTGCACACACACAAGACTAATTCCTTACCCAGTAACACCATCTCACCAACACTGTGCTCTTCCTTGTCTGAGGTAGGCTGTTGGGCAGCATCCAGGCTGACACACTCTTCTTGGCAGTGAAATACATTCAAATCCTCAAAGACTTCCAGGTCCTGAAAGAACAGGCCTGTTAGTAATAATCCTGCTGGTAAGAAAGACTAAAACCCAAAGACCCAGGAAGGGATGGTAAAATCTCTGTTCCACACAGATATAGCACAGACAGAAAAGTCATGCCCAGAAAGGAGAGAGTGGAAAAGCAGAAGACAGATACGCAAGGAGGCAGAGAAGGAGGAGACGACTTTCCTTTCTGACACCCAAGAGCATGTTTTTATATGTGGTCTGGCTGAGCAGAGAGGGCTGCAACAGCAAAGGAGGTGATGCACTCAAATAGTGAATGGGAACAGTAAACCCACCTCGGGCTTGTCTTTCAGACACAGAGGCGCTGTCTCCTGTTCCTGCCAGGTTCCCTCTCTGGGCAAAAACTTCACAAAAGGATGAGGTTGCACTGGGGGAAAAGGAAGCTGTAATTAGTGGCTGGTCAGTCACGCTAATGTGGAGACTACCCACATTTGAGGCGAAGCTGTGCCTACTCCTTCAGCAAACAACTCAAGACTTTTTATTACTCCTGTGAGCCAAGCCAGAGATCTTGAACCTATGGGATTTCCTCACTACAGAAGAATGATCCCCGTAAGCACCTTTTAAAATCAGAGGCACTACTATAGGGGATGTTAGGGGAAGGTCAATTCTGAAGATTCCCACAGTAAGCACAAGTTTCCAAGATTTCACTTAAACTGAAGTCAACTTGGTAATTCATCTACATTTCTTTATCCCAAAAAAGGTGTTTCTCCCCAGAATGTCTGGGTAAAACTAACATTACAGAAAAAAAACCCCAAAGACCAAACAAGGGATGGTGAAATCTCATTTCCACACAGATGTAGCACAGACAGAAGTTTGTCTTTACATACATCCTGCATACCACTCAAGAGCCAACTTGGGAAAACAAATACTTCCTCTCCCCAACAAGTTGATTACAGTCAACTCCTTTTTCAGTACCTACCATCCCAACTGGAACTCATGACTAACATCAACACCTCTCAACCCCCCAGGCTATTCTCTTCTAGTAAATGGCATGTGATACTCACCTCCGTTCTCATGTCTTGAAGTCACAATAACCAAGGTCTTCTCGACTTTCTCATTGGGCTGGACTAGGCCTGGCTTGGGTAAGAAGGAGAGGAAGTGCTCCAGAACCAGCTGGTGGATAGTCTTGGGCCGACTAGTAGCTTCTCGAAGTAGGTCTTGGCCCAACTTAGACTCTGGAGGAACTCTCAGTATAAAGGCCTGCTTTGGCTTTGGGGGCAGAGGAACCACTTTTGCAGCCATTGTCTTACACCACACACCACACTCCTTTCCGCAGAGCTTCACGGGCCTCTTCTTACCAAAGTAATCTGTCAGCTGCCAAGCTGTGGGCAAGAGAAACCAGGGGTTACGCACAGGTCAGGCAGGGCAACCTACCCTGCCACATGTGGCCACGCGAGCTCTAAATCGGACGGGAGCGCTGAGCTGGAGCAGGAACCTCCTAGCAGAAACGGAAGGTCCCAGAACCAGTAACTCTCCGCAAGAGCTGCGAGGAAGGGCCCGACGGCGCGAGCCGAGCAGCCCACAGCTCGCGGGCTGAGCGGGCGGGTCGGAAGACCCAGGCTCGGCTCCGGAGGACGAAGCGCGCGCCCCACCGCGAAGAGCGTCGCGAGGAGCGAGGGCTGGAGGAGAGGCGCCCGGGCGGGGCCCCGAGGGCGTCTACGGGGAAGCCGGCGCGGCCCGCCTGGCCGCCCCACGCCCTCGGATGCCGTCGAAGGGCGGCCGACGGCCAAGGCGCGGCGGCGGCGGGAGAGTCCCCACGTGCCCGCCGGCTCCCGCCGTCGCAGCGGGCGGAGCGCGGCAGGGGCCCCCGGGCAGCCCTTCCGGCCAGGCCCGCGCGGGGGTCGCTCCCACCGGGCGGGGCACCGGGAGCGCCCGGCCCGGCGGCGGCACCGGGGTCGCTCTCCGTCCCCCCCACCGCCCGCAGCCGGGTTCCCGCGCTCGCGGCGCCGTCACGTCCGGGGCTCGGCCGCGCCGCGCCCGCTGGGCGCCCCCCCGAGACCCGGTGTCGAGGGGAGACCCGGAAAGCAGGCGCGAGAGGCCGCGCCCCCGCCCCCCGCGCGTCCCCCTCACCCGTCGCCGGCGACCGCAGGTGCGCGCCGCCGTCATTAGAGGAGAACGTCGAGGCGCGGTGCCTTCTGGGAAGCGACCGCCGCGGCCGCAGTGACGTCACGCCCGGTGCCTCGTTTCCGGCGCGGGAGCCTGGTCTCCCCGCTCGGAGCGGGCGGCCCGCGCGCAGGAGAGCGGCGCGCGAAGCCACGCGGAGGGCTCTCGGGCCAGCGGCAGCCGCTCCCCCTGCGAGTCTGCCACGTACACGCGGGCGGGAGGCCGGCGCCAGCCCTCCGCGCCGGGACGGCGCCTCCAGGAGCGGGTGGGCTCGCTCAGGGCCTGCTGGGAAACGTAGTTCCGCCCCAGGCAGCCAATGAGAGGCCGCCTGGGCGGCTGGGCGGGGCCGAGAGAGATCGAGGCGCCACCGGAAGCCGGTTCTTTTCCGGTCCGGAAGTTGCAGCGCGGACCCCTTGCTTCCGCGGCGTCTTCCGCCGCAGCATCCGGGGTGGGCCCAAGACCGAGGAGGCGCCCCCTGGTCCTCGGCCGGGTCGGCCTCCCGCTCCCGGGGCCTGCGACCCCGCCCCTGGCGTCAGGGGGCCCGGAGGCCGGGGCCGGCCCGGCGCCGCGGCGTCCCACGCGGGTTTGGGGGCCGTCCGCGGCCTCCTCCCTGCCCCGGGGGACGCCCGGCCCCGACTGTTCCCTGCGCTGCGCGGGGCCGGGTCACCCGTGGGGAGGAGCCTGGGCGGGCGTCGCCCGATTCCTGCGAGTGACGCCGGCCTGCGGCAGATGCCCGCGGCGGAAATGCCCGGAAGTGCCTGTCCCCAGGGCCGCGGGTGCTCGGCCGTGGCTTAGGAAATGTTAAGAGACTCGCGGCAAAGACTGGGCGAATGGCCTTAAAATGTTAAATTCGGAGTCGCACGTCACACAGAATTGCAGACGGCGCGTGAGCTACGGTTTGTCAACTTAGGGGTTCTCGCCTTTAGTGTGGCGTGAAAGCAGTTTGCATTCGGGAGAACCACCCTTCAGATTTTGAATTTTTGCTCTTTTCCAGGGCGATTGATACTCCACAATACGCTCGTGGTGCTGGGCGGCTGGGCGGCACCGGGGAGGCCCCTGTATATAATACTTTTTAAATAAAATATATTTTTAAACTGGAGGAATATACTCAAGGAGGTAATAGTCATCTCTAAGAAGTAATGTTAGGGGGAAAGGATGTCCTGAGTTAATCCCATACAGGCTTTGTGGACCCCACCCCCACTCCAGACCAAAGCCATCAGGACATTGGGAAAGACAAATCCTGTCACCACCAAAGGGAAGGTGGCTGGGACCTGAGGGTGGAGTTGGGCAGCCAGGTTGGATATAAAAACCAAACACGTGGGCCTTGGGGTCTCTCTGGCTCGCGAGATCGCTCGCCTCCTGGCTTCACCGCTCCTGGCTGGCGGCCAACTCTGAGAGCGCCATTTTGGGATTCCTGATCGGCGGATTGGGTAGGACTCATTTAAAACTTTGTCTCCCACTTTTCTCCCTGAGCTGTACATTTCCTCATTTCCCCTTCCCTTGTAAATAAACCTTTTATGAACCTTTCGCGTGCGCCTGCAGTAGAGCATTGATAAGTCCTTTTAAGCGCGCGGGTGAGGACCCACAGTCAGGCACCCCGTTTTGTATCGGGGTTGCTCTACAACAGTTAGACTAGTGGGTTTTTTTTCACCTTTCATATTTTATAAATGCTTACGTTTTCAAACGATGAGTGTCAATTTTTGTAATTGAAAAAAAATCTCAGATGTTTGAAGGGTGAGTTAAGGACTTAACTATTTGACCACCTAGAGGCAAAACAGTGAAGAAAGAAAATTCTATTCAGATGTAAAATGCAAATCAAAACCACAATGAGAGGCCCTCCCTGGTGGCCAAGAGGTTGAGCGTAGTGCTGTGAGGTGAGCGTAGTGCTGTGAGGCTGTGCTCAGCCTCTGCAGCAGTTCAATACCTGGCCTGGCCATGAAGCTACCTGCATGGCACAGCAGACCTCTCCTGTCTCCCGGCTGCTCCCCTCAGCAGTGTGTTTCAGTCAGTCTGCCTGCTCTGCTCCCCACTCTGTCTCTGGTGAATCCTCTCACCTCCCGCACCTCTGGCCTGTACCCCAGTTCTTGTATGCATAAATAAATATTTGAAAAAAAATGAGAAACCACTTTCACTAGAATGGCTGTAATGAAAAAGAGAACAACAAAATGTTGGTGTGAATGGGGGGAAATTGGAACCATCATATATTGCTAATGGGAATGCAAAATGGTCTCATCTACTTTGGAAAACAGTTTGGCAGTTTCTTACTTAAATTGTTAAGATTATTGTATGTTCCAACAATCCCACTACTGGGTTTGAAACCCAAGAGAAATGAAAATGTATGTCCATATGAAAACTCATACACAAATAGCAGCATTATTTGTAATAGCTGAAAAATAGACACAACCCAGATTTTCACCGACTGATAAACAGATGAGGAAGGTATAGCATGTTCATATCATTATTATTCAGCAATAACAAAGAGATGCAGTACTAATACTTGCTGCCTGCAAGATGGATGTATCTTGAAAACCTGCTAATTAAAAGAATTCAGTCACCAAATACCACATATTATGTGCTTCTACTTACATGAACTGTCCAGAATAGCTAGTCCATAGAGAGACAAATTAGATTAGTGATGACTGGTAGGAACGGGAATGGAAGTGATTGCTGATGGTTGTTTCTATTTGGGATGATGAAATTGTTCTGGAATTAGTGGTGATGTTTGCATATTTTGTGAATATAATAAAAACCACTGAATTTACACCTGAAAAGGGTGGATTTATGGTATGTGAATTACACAACAATTAAAAACCACCAGACAGGGAAAATTCCATCTGATGGATACAAATGTTTAATATCTAAAATATTTATGAAGAAAAACTACAAATAGTTAATTAAGTTCAGTAGCTAGATTCATTGCAAGTTGTCAAAGGAGTTGCACTAATTCTATAGGATGAAGCAAAAACGAAGTCACTTGGAAAAATTCACAGGCTCACTAACAGGTAATGGAATAAAATACAGGCAAAATCCCACTACATCTCTATTAAGTCACCAGAAATTTTTAAAAAAATGACAGACATTAGGCATGAAACATCTTTCTGAAGGGCTGCAGGGCATACCAGAGCAAGCATTAGCAAACAGCTCACATTCTCGGACCATTTTAGGAACAATACAGGAGAGGAAAACACCGGTGTGGTAGGTAGTAGGAAAAGTACCCAAAGCTCGCACCAAAATCTTGTAGCCGGGGAGAGCTGGGGTGTCAGGGGCCAACCACAGGCGCGAGTAAGTAAAGGGGGCGCATGCACCGTGGCATGTGGGTGGTGCACGCACAGCGAGGCTCCCTGAGGAAAACAAAGCTTTGCTGTCTGCTCTGGTCCCGACCACGGAGCACCTGGCTCTAGGCTAGTTTGAGTTTAATCTAAAATTTATTTTCTTTCTCTTAATCCCTTCTCTTTTTCTCTCTCTAAATATGGGGTGGTAAAGGAGATATTGGGGAGCTAGGACATCTATATCCCATAGACCCAGGGATTCTCAGGTAGGATCAGGCTGGATAGCCTGGCGCCTGGATGTGCGCTGAGCGCCTGCCGCCGCGCGGCCCACCTGGGGGTGGTATTCAGTAGGCAAGTGTGATCCACTGAGCCACAACAAATGAGGTTAGAACCAAGTTTTCTAACTGATTGATCCGTGAGGCCCACTCAGTACTTTTAAGAACCTTAGTTCATTAATCCAGGTACGAACACACAGGAGGACAGAATGAAGGGCTCACACCCTTGGTCTGGGGCCCTGAGGGCAAGCGAGGTGGGAGCTCTGCCTCACGGGTGCTGAGGGTGCTGATCCATGGGAGGATTCAGTCCGAGTCACCTACTTCCTGCTCTGAAATCCAAGGAGATCACCAGCACTCGTGTTCTGGCCTCACCCTCGGTTTATCGACATCCGTGTGCCCAGCTGTGTCTGCTACTGTTCGCCAGCTCCGGGGGCAGAGGGCCGGGTCCCCACAGCAGGTGGCCACCACCAGGGCTCAATCCTGACTCGAGTGTATGAATCCCAGACGCAAGGCCAAGAGCGTGGAGAGGCAAAGTGCTGGGCGTTCAGTGGGACCCCGGCCCCCCCACTGGACAGATGGTCAGGGGGTCCATGTTTCTCCCTCCATCATGTGTCCCGGGGCTGAAGATTGGCTGAAGGGGCCCGGAAGGAGGGGGGCTGGTGAATGTGTACACGTGGGCCTTGGCTGTCACGTTGTAAAAGGAAACGCTTCCCACTGTGTAGTCCAGGAAGACGCCCACACGCCTGGGGGGCTCCTTCATCCGCAGGCACGTCGGGGGCAGCGTGGACGCCTGGTACTCGTGCTGCCTCGTCATCATCACCACCCAGTACCCAGTCTCTGGGGTCAGGGTGATGCTGCCCTTCCTGCTCTTCGACACCTGGCAGACGCCCAGGATCCACCCTGTCTTGCTCCCCACCTCCACCTCCCAATAGTGGCGGCCACCGGTGAACCTGGAGAGGCCCAAGGTGAAGATGCAGCTGTCGAACCTCTCTGGGCTGTCGGGCAGGCGGCGGGACTTGCTTCCCAGCCTCACGCTCCTCAGGTCCGCGGACAAGATGAGGTTGGCGTGCGCGGTTGCTGGGTCCAGCATCACAGCAGCTGCAGAGAGAAGCAGAAGACCTCGCTCCGAGCCCCAGGCTCCCCCCACCTCCGGGAGACAGGGGCAGGCCCGCCCTTCTGTACCAAACTGAAGGACAACACAGACCCGGTGGGCCAAGTCCACGCGCCTCGAGCTGGACACTTACTGGCATGTGCCTGAGCGACGGTCAGCTCCGGAACTGCAGAGAGACGGGGGATGGGAGAGCTCAGCACCCCCATTCCAAGGGACTAAATTCGCCCCGGCCCCTACAATATGGAAAGACAAGGACCCCCCCCCCAGCACCTAACCCTGTTCCTCGCAAGGGCCCAGGCTGCGGGGAGACTGACGCGAGGAGCCGGCTGGGTCAAGGAGCCGCGAGGGCCTGCGCCACCTTCCCCCTCCTCCGGCCCGGGCCCCGGGCCCCGGTGGAGATGAGAAGAGGGCAGCAGCCCCGGGCCGCACCCCGCCTCCGCCAGCACCGACTCAGACTCACCGTGCAAGGTTTTCATTTCCAACCGCAGGGATTCTGGAAGTAGAAAGGGGCTGGAGTTAGGCCCCTGGCGAGGGACAGATCAGAGGAGAACAGCCAGGGGCGAGGGGCGCGTTCGCAGGGGCTGCGGGCTCCATGGATCTCAGGAGCCGCCCGTGCGCGCCGGGGCACCTACCCGAGAACTGCTTGACGCTCTTCTCCATGAACTTTGACTTCTGGGAGAGCAAGAGGAGCTTCTCTTCCACCTCCTCAGGGGAGGCCCACGGCTCGGGGACGGTCACCATCTTGGCCCTAGAGACAGGGGGCCAGCGAGGACTGAAGGGTGCGCCACACCACGCGGGCCCGTCGGGCGCACCCAGCCCAGCCTGGGCTTTGCAGAGAAACGCTCCCCGGGACTTTGAGTTCTGGACTCTGGTCTGCAGCTCTGGCCGGTGGCCCCACCCCCTGGGACATATGAACCCCACTGCTGCCTGAGACCAGCAGCAGGAAGACAAATACCAGGTGAGGGCTACAAAGAAAGAACAGAGGAACGGACCACGCCAAACGAAAACAAATCCTTCAATCTGACCTCAGAACTGAGGTTACCAGAAGGGCAGTTGGGAGCAAAGTAGGGCGGGGGCCCAGCCGACTCTAGTGGGCGTGGTGTGGAGATGTACATCTGAGGAGGTGTGAGCCTGTATCCCTAAAGAGTACACAGAGTTAGGGCTTCCCTGGAGGTACAGGGGTTAAGTCTCAGCACTATCAGGCTATCCGCAGCCACTGCGGCCTGAGTTCGATCCCCCGCCAGGGAGCTACCCACAGGGCGCAGCAGCCCTCTCCTGTCTCCCCGCTGCTCCCCTCAGCAGTGTATTTTGGTAGATCTGCCTGTTCTGCTCCCCACTCTGTCTCTGGTGAATCCTCTCACCCCCACATCTCTGGTCTGGACCCCAGCTCTTGGATGCATAAATAAATGAGTCTTTAAAAAAAATTAAGCATAGAATTACCGGGTGACCCGGCAATTCCACTTCTGGGTGCAGACCCCAGAGAACTGAAAGAATTGGATGCAAGCAGATCTCTGTGCTCTCACAGCGGGTGTAGACCACCTGGTGCCCGGGGCGGCTGTGCAGGTGGGGGAGTATCACGTAGCCCCCAAAGGAAGGGCCCTTTGACACTGGCTGCTGTGTGGACGGATGGACTCTGAGAACGCTGTGCTCAGTGAGATCAACAGGCACAGAAGCGTGAGAGCCGTAGGGTCCCCTCCTGTGAGCGCCCAGAGCGGCCAGGCCCATGCAGACTAGACCGAGTGCCGCTCCGGGGCGGGAGCTGCGGTGGGATGGACTGAGGATGCAATCCCTGCACTTAAAATGACTGAAATACTCTGTGTTTTACCACACAAGTGATGCCTGGTCTCACCCCTGAAGTTCCCATTGAATTGTCTGTGGGCCTGGCCTCTCAGGATCTGTGAGCCCCCCAGGTCTGTAAGGCCCAGCCCCTCACCGTCCGCTCCCTGCCTGCTGGGCACGCCATCCCCCCCGCTCCCCGGCTGGCCCTCCCCGGCCAGGGTTCTTCAGGGACAGTTTGCAGGAGGCAAGCTGCGGGAGACATTGCAATCAGGGGGGCTTCCTAGGAAGCCCCGCCAACGCTGCGGGCTGCGTCCACTCCTTCCCGTGTCCAAACCTTCTTCCCCACTCCGGCGCGCCCCCTCTCCCTGCACAGACCCAGAAAGGTCTTCAGAGGCTGCGGGAGATGGCGGAGTTACAAGCCCAGGGTCGGGCTGCCCACCCCCAGTGCTCTCACGGACACTGCGGGGTACACGGGGGCCCTCGGTACCTGTGCAGGATGGCTCCGATGTCCTAGGAGAGAAGAGAGGGTGTCTCCGTTACCAGTCTTCTGGGAGATGCACCTGCCCTGGGCTCTTGCCCCCAACGTGGCAAATCAGAGTCCCTCTCCCTGGTTCTGATTCTGCCCATGGAGGTGGGGGCCCGCAGCGGAACTGCACCCAGGCCAGGGGGCCCCAACTCAGAGCGCTACTGAGGGGTTTGGGCATGAGCTGCATGTGGGTCAGCACGTCCAGCCTCAGGGCAACCCCAGGGTGGGCCCCGCTGGGCAGTGCTGACAGCTCGTGCCAGCCTGCAGCGGGGGGCCTGCCGTGCGCACCTGCATCAGCTCCCACTCGGGCTGGGCCTGCTTGGCCTCCAGCTCCCCGATCAGCTGGTCGAGGAGGGCGACGTCCTGGGACACTCGTGCGCCATAGGTCTCCCCGGCGCGCCCGATGGTCTGCTCCTGCTCCTCCAGCTTGGCCACAAAGAGCTGCTCTTGCTGCTTCAGAAAGTGGCAAATGTTTTCCAGCTGGCACTGGACCTTCTGCTTCTGGATTCCGATTTCTTTCTGGGGAACAAGGAACACAGGCGTAGGGGTGGGTGTGTGTGCCCAGGGGCCCCAGCAACCCCCTGCTGGAGGTGAGCAAGGGGTAGCCCCTCCGCCTCCGGGTCTGGGGTTCCAGGGAGGAGGGGATGTAGGCCCGGATCTTGCAGAACAGCCTCAGGGTGGAAGGGGCTGGCTCTTGGAAAATGCCCTCCAATCTGGTGTTGGGGGTAGAACTGTGCCCCCCACCATTCATACCTGAAAGTCCCAGCTCTCAGGACCCCAGAACATGACCTGGGGCTGGAAACAGGGTTATTGCAAACATAAGCGGGGCAGGGGAGGGCCCTGGGGGCGACTGGCGCCCTTGCAGAGGGGAAACGTGGACGCAGAGAGCATGGTGGGGCCACAGAACCATCCGGGGTTCCAGCCTCCGCAGCACGGGAGTAAGGGTCTGCCGCCCTGCCCTGGCCGCCCCCACACGCGAGGACATGGGGGGCTCCTGCCTTGCTCCCAGCCAGCGTGACCATCCAGGGACCAGGCTCCGACCACGATGGCCCCTGGCAGGGACGGGCCTCTCCCGAGGGCTGGCCGCTGGCGGGTGCCGAGCGTGGCGGTGCACACGGGGGTGCGCGGCCTTGTCCGCTGCGGTCAGCCGCCGCCCGCTCTCGGGTTCTCAGCCCCGTGGGCGCTTCCACTGGGAGGCCGAGGGCCCCGGGCCTGCCTTCCCTCCCTTCGGGTCCACGGAGACCGGACCCTAGAGGCCTCACGGTTTCTGGCCCGAGGACAGGAGCGACGCTGGCGCCCCTGCAGCCCTTTGGCGTCGCTGGTGACACTGACCGTGGGGGACCGGGCAGGGGGGCGGGGGCGAGGAGCAGCCTTGCTCGGCGCCTCTATTCTCAGCTTTGATCATTTTGTTCAGCATTAAATCCAGGCTGGAGCACAACAGGTGCAAGAAACACCGCGGTGCCTCCCCAGGCCCCCCTCACCCCCCAAACCCCGCCCTTGGCCACCCCGCCTCGGGGACACCGGGTCCCTGGGCCCCGCCAGGCCCTCCCGGAACCCGGTCATCCCCTTCACGGTGAGGCGGCCGGCGGGCGGCCCGTCCACCCTCCTCTGGAAACAACGGCCTCTGCGCGCCCGCCCGGGATGCTCCTCACCACCCGCCTGACGGGAGCAGCCACCTCCAGGGCGGGACGGAGCATCTCGGGCTCGCGCTGCACCCCGGCCCGCGCCCGCCCTGCCTCCGGCCTCAGCGGAGAACACTCTGTCATTGAAGGGAGAAGAGCCCTGAAAAGAGCCCCCCCTTTCGGAGGGGCCCGTGGGCTGCGAGGGGGCTCAGGGGAGGCTGGTCCCGCTCGTCTCCCCTGGGTCTCCGCCTGGCGCTGGGGGGGCATCCCTGCCCCCTGCTGCCTCGGCAGGGCCCGCGCCCTGGGCTCACGGGAAAGCACTTTCATGTCGCGGCCATTCGGGAGTTTCCCGGAGTCAGCCCCCTGGTGGGGGCCCCTCCTCTGCCCTGAGTTTTCTTTGCCCGTCCCCCTCCCCCCATGGGGTGCGCCGGTCAGAACTTTGGAACCTGAGAGGGGGCCAGGAGCCAACCCAAGGAGCCATCGGACACACCGGGGCTCTGTGGGGAGGGGCTGCCGCTGCGGGGGCGAGGAAGCAGCCCCTGCACCCCGAGGCTGGACTGCGGCCCCAGGGGGGGCGGCTGTGGGCTGTGCCCACAACGGTGGGGTCCAGGCCGCAGGTTTCAGGAAAACGGTTAACCATTTGAATTTAGAAAGTGAATTTGATTTTTGTAAAAAATAAAACCAACAACAAATACGAAGACAGCGGAGGAGCATTTCGAGTGGAAAAGTCCTTCCTTTCCTCAGTCCCTCACCCCCCTCTTCTCGCAGGGGTGAGCCTGGACGACCATAGGCCCCAGAACAGCCCTGGCCTTACCAGGAAGTTCACTGTCTCACTTTGCCCCTGAGATCTCCGCTCCTCCCCTGATTTTCTCAGCCTCTTCAGGTGCTCCAGCTGCTTCTGAATGTGCTCCTGGGGAAAAAGGAAAACAAACACTGGCTGAAACTTAAACTTGGCTATTCAGCTGATGCCAACACGGGAGGGGCCATCTACTTCTGGGGGCAGGTGGTGAGGGTGCCCAGGGGAGAGGAGGAGGAATCCACCACATCAAGGGAAGGAGGTGAGAGAGCGTCCGCATGACCTCCTGGGCCCTGGATCCAGCCATACCTGAAGCTGGAATTCGGCGCCTGTGCTTATGAACCTGTAAGCTCCCTCTCTGCTTGTTGGTTTGTGTTGTGGCTTTGCCCTTGACAGCCCAAGTGTGCTGGCAGCAACCTCTGGGGGCTGGGAAGTGTGGCAAGGCCCCGCCCCACGTGTGCAAGGACAAGGCAGAGAAGCACCCAGGCAGGGAGCCCCACCTTGTACTCCAGGGCCGCCTCCTGGATGGGGCGCACCCGGTGGTCGCGGTGCTCCTGGCTCAGCCTGCAGATGAGGCAGATGGGCTCCCCATGGTCCTCACAGAAGAGCAGCCGGGCCTGCTTCATGTGCCGCTCACACTGCGGCAGCAGCTGGGCGCTGGGGCTGCCGGAGGCTCTGGGACTCGCAGGCTCCATGGAGTAGCTGCAGGGACCATGCACACAGGACGCCCCGGCTGGGGTTCCTTCCTGGGCTGGGCAGAGGGGACACCCCGCCTGCTGCCACGGCCTCCCTGGGGACAGAGTGGCGGGGGTCTGAGTGGCAAGCCCCAGATGTCCACAGGGGTACTCAGAGCACAGCCGCGTGCACCCCTGCCCGGGCTCTCGGCCCCCAGTGCCGTCCTGGCTGGGCCCCCGCACCGGGGAGGACCAGCGTGAGCCTGGGACTGGGTGGAGGGCGGACCTCGTGACCTCAGGAGACGGGCCCCTAACGAAGGCCCGGCCTCCTGCACGCACACCCGACAGGCTGGGGGTACGACAAGAACAGGCTTTGGACTGAGCCCCCAGGCCACCCGTGGCGCCAGCGGCGCCCCCCACGAGGCTCATGTCCCTTGCTCACAGCCAGAGCCCACCCCCACAGCGTCCGCGCCTGTCAGTGTGGGGGCGAGTGTGGCGTGAGCGGACAGACGCCCCGCCGGCATCCTGCGCCAGGAGGCAGTGAGCGGCAGAGCAGGGACCTCGCTCGGCGAGAGGGCGGCCGGCACGGCCGCGGAGACGCAGGCCCAGGCCCGGCCCAAGCTCACAAAGCAGAACTGACAGGAGATCAGAGGAAACGGAAACAGACTGTCGGCCCTTCCCTCCTCCACCCACCCCTCTCCTCCCCCTGGCTGCTGCCCTGTCCCCGAGCCCCTCCCGCACAAACCCTGCGTTCTCAGCCTCCCTCGCACGTAGGTGCTGCTATTTGACCGCACTCTGGCCAAATGGACGTGAACATTGGTGTCAAGAGCACCTTCTAGAAACCCTCGAGGAGGTTCTCTTTGCCCCTGTATTCTGGAACGAGGATGCGGCCACCTGGGGAAAGCAGGACCCGGGCAGAGCCTGGGTTCCCGGCACGGAGCTCCGTGGCTCTCCGCCTGCTGGGCGGCGTTCATGGCAGGAGAGCAGGCGCCGTCCTCGCCCAAGGAGCTGTTGCCCTGGGGCTGCTGCCGCTCATGCCCCACATAGTCCCAGCTTCTTCCCATCAGTGACAGACACCTCGGATTTCAGCTGATGGCTCCCTCCGTGGCCAGAGAGGCGCAGGGCTCTGCCCGGGAGCCATGTGAGAGAGGTCATTTTAGCCAGGCTTCCCCAGATGCTCGACTTGGGGTGCACAAAGCCCTTGGAATTCTGAGGACCTCCCAGAGTGTCCAGGAAATAAGTGACTCCAATGCACCATTTTGTGGAGGTGGCCACGATTGCATTTTTCAGGACCCGGCTCACATCAGCGCCTCGAGGCGGGGGACCGGGTGGGGAGTCAGAAGCTGGGGGGGATCCCTGCACCCGGCCCAGTCCCGAGGACACCAAGTCTTCTGGCTCCAGGGTCCCTTCTTACCTGTGGGCTCACGGCACGCACTGCCTGCCACCAGCCCCGAGGTCTCAGGGGGCTCTGGACCCGCAATTCCACTTTTCTCCCAAGATTCTGTGGGGTTTGGATGCTCCCGGGTCCTCTCTCCGGGCTGCGGTGCCGCGGAACATCTACTCCTCAGGTTGCCCCCCTCCAGGGCCTGGGAGTTTTCTGGATCCCTGGAGCCTTGCTCCACAGCCACAGCAGCGCCTCCATCCAGAGCGGCCACTCGGCTGGGGGTGGGTGCTGAGTCTTTGTTCTCCTGAGTCAGAGGAGTTTCTGGGTTGGGGGGTGCTCCCACCAAAGAAATGGGGATTTCAAGGCTCTTGGGTCGCTGCTTCTCTGAAGGCATCCTGAGGTCTCTCTTTGCCAGGGACCCGGCGGGAGGCCCGCTGGAGAGGTCCTGGAGCCTCCCTGCGGAGATGGAGTTCCTGCGAAGCAAGGGAAGGAAGGTGCTGGAGCTGCCCCCCTTCTCGCCGGGCAGCTTGCCAGGGACGAGGCTCTTCCTGGCCGGTGGAATCAGGTTCCTGGCCCAGGGCTTGCTGGAAGCGTCTGTGCCCTCGGGGCCCTTCTGATCTTTCCGTTTGCCCTGAGGCTTCTTCTGGGAAGCCCTCCCGGTCTCGGGCTGGCCAGTGGGCAGGCTGGCCACCCCGTCTCCACACAGCCGCTGCCCACCCCGCTCTGGGCTGTCGGGCGGCCGGGGGCGCCTGGGCCTGCTGTCCCCGGAGGAGCAACGCACCGCGGAGCCGTCCATGCCGCTTTCTTGTATCAGATAGTCTGAAAAGAGACAACCAGACAGACAGACATGAAAATGTGCCTTGGAGCTGCCAGGGCCAATGCGGGGGGAAGGGAGAGAGAGCGAGCCCCTTGGAAATGAGCCATGCAGAACATTCCAGACAACTGGTCGTCACCAGGACGTCAGAACCAAGCTCAGCGTTGCTGTGTGTTCTCAGACAGTGCGTTTCAAACTTCAGGCAATAAACTAGTTTATTAGTATGAATTTGTACGTGGTTAGGGATCCACACCAGCCACACAACTCAGCAATAGAGAGGAATTTGGGTGTTTCATAATCAGAGATGATTCAAGTTGGTTAAAACGTCAGAAACCCCCAGATGCTGGTGACTTCCTGCCGCGGGCCCAGGCACCACGAGCAGCACCCCCTCTGCCTTGTGAAACCCGAGAGACGGAGCTTCCCCTGAGGAGACAGCTAGAGCGGGACCTGGGGCGGGGGAGGGACGTGACGAAGTGAGGTTTAAGGGGGCGAAAAGGGGAAGGTCGTGGGTGCCGGTGTCAAGCCCGGGGCTGTGCTTCTGCAGCGGCTTCCAGCTCGCTGGCCACCAGACCGGTGAAAGCCAAGACTTGAGCACCAAGACAGATGGCTGAGGAGGTCGGCCTCCCCGGCCCGCCGCCCCGCGGGGCTCACCATTCGGCCCAGCACCCTGGCTTCTCAACTGACACAAGAGCCCAAGGAGGGTGGGCCTGGCAGGTCACGCGGCTGTTTGCCCACCGGGCCCTGGCCAGTGTCCTGAACCCCGCCTGGACCCGCCTTGGCTGCAGGAGGGGCGCGCCGGGGGCTGCTCCTCAGCTCCACGGTGAAGCCAAATGCAGTGTCCCTGCCCCGAGGCCGGGGCCGCGGGGTGCTCACCTGGGCCCAGGGCACGGTGCAGCTTCTCTGCCAGGAGGTGCTGGTTGATGGCCCTCAGGATGTGCAGGGTCAGCCGCATGGCAAACTGCTCCCCGTAGTGACTGACCAGCAGAGAGGCCACCTTCACGGGCTTGGCGAGCTGGAGCTGGCCCCGGGGGATGTGGCGGTGCTCGCTCTCCAGGCTGGCGTTCTGCAGCTTGAACTTGAACTTCTCGAATTCGTAGGGCAACAGCTCCTCCAGGGAGAAGAGCAGCAGGTCACTGGGGGTCTGGGTCATGATGCTGCCCATGGCAGGGCGGGGGCGTCCGCGGCCGGGCTGCGGCTTGGAGCGAGAGGCTGGCCGGGCCCCGACGCCGGCGCGCTCGGGAAGGCGCAGGAGGCCTCGCTCCGCGGCCCGGCCAGGCGCCCGCGCGCCCCGCTGCTGTGCGGCGCGTCCCGGGATGGGGATCGGGGCTTTTCTACACCCCAGACACGTGGTCCGCGGCGCCGGGGCGGCGGGAGGGGCGGGGGGGGGCGGAGGGCCGGGAGGGGCCGGAGTGGGGGGGCGGGAGGGTGGCCGGGGCGCGCTCACGCCGTCCACGCGCCAGAGCGCTCGTTGGGTGGGCACAGGGGCCCTGGCCGGCCGCGGGGGCCCCCGGCGAGCGCAGCCCTCGGGGCGGACAGTCCTTCGGACGCCTGGGGGGGCGCCGGCCCTACAGCCGCGCGGCCCGCAGGCTTTGCCCTTCCCCGCGCGGGACGCGAGCCCCGCCGGGACGCGAGCCCGGTGTCTCCGCCGGGGAAGCCGCCCCGCGGTCTGGTCCTCCCAGCGCCGGGTCGGGCACACCCGGAGCGGCCTCCGGGCGCGGACCTGGGGCGCCTCTTACCCGCCCGTCACTGTGTGCGAGGCGCGGACTCGTGCCCGGACCCCGGCTCTCGGGGCGCAAGGGCCGGGGGTGCTTCAGCGCTCACTGCTCTGTGGGGACCCGGGGGGCTCCCAAAGGGATGGAAGTTGTATGTGGGGTAAGCGGACCCCTCCCTTCCTCCCCCCGCCCCCTCCCCCCTCCCCTTTCACCTGCTCTCTCCCTCCCTCTCCCTCCCTCTCCCTCCCTCTCCCTCCCTCCCTCTCCCTCTCTCTCTCACGCACAGTCCTTCCTTCCCCCCCCCCCCAGAACCATTTGGTAATAAATTGAAAACATTGCAACGTATCATCCTGAATACCCGGGCTACCCTCAATTCTAAGATCGTTATGAGGCTTTTATTTTATTTTTTTAAAGGTTTATTTATTTATGCATACAAGAGTTGGGGTACAGGCCAGAGATGTGGGGGTGAGAGGACTCATCAGAGACAGGGCGGGGAACAGAGCAGGCAGGTTGACTGCAATACACTGCTGGGGGGAGCAGTGAGCAGGTCATGTGGGTGTCTCCCTGGCCAGCGGGGATCGAACCCGTGCTGCAGAGGCTGTGGATTGCTTCACAGATTGCATCCTAACCCTCTGTGCCACCTGGGAGGCCCTGAGGCTATTTTAAATAATCACAATACAATGCTCTCACCCAGGAAATTTAACAGTGTTGCAATACTACACTCAGTGCACACTCAAACACACACACACACACACACACACCCCTCCTCATGACCCCCCTCCCCAGGCTTTGTGTTTCAATCCAGGGTGGTGTCAGAGGTCCTGTGTTGCTTTTCTCTTCCTCATGCCTCTGGAGTCTCTCCGGTTCAGACCACTTTCTCACTCCCTCCTGCCTTGCTTTTATACTTTCCAGACATTGACATTTTCAAAATGTCCACCCAAGCGGAATGTGCCCCAATTTAGATGTGGGTGGCTGCTCCCTCACGATTAGGCTAAGGGAACACCCAAGCACCCTCCACCTGCTCCAATGTGTGACACTTTTTCTTTGTAATAAGTAACTTGAGTGTGTGGAAATGTCTCATTCCCCCGCAGCCCGCAATCTCCACCCTCCACCCCCCCCACAGTTCTAGCATTCACAGAATGTCCTTTCCTACGTCAAAGACTGCCGTGGTGGTTGCCCAGCGGTGATACCCCATCCTGTAGCCGGCCTGGATTGCATATCCTGGTGTAAACTGTGCCCTTGTGAAATTCTGGGCTTAGCGATGACCTGTTCAGTTCAGTTTCCCTCCAGGATGCTCCTTGTACCGGCCCAGCTTGCTTCTGACACCTCATCTGTCACGGGCTCCGTAGCACCATGGGGCAGGATTCATCACCCCCATTTGCACACAGCATTGGTGGCCTCGTGACTTGCCCAGCGCCAGGATTCAAACTCACTCTACAAAAAGAACCGTTTTGCAATCCTGCCTCCCTGTGTAATAATAATTTGCCATGGGCCTCCCTGGTGGCACACGGCTTAAGTCTCAGGACTGTGAAGCTATCTGCAGCCACTAGGGCACGAGTTCCATCCACAGCCAGGGAGCTGACCCACAGGGCACAGCAGACCTCTCCTGTCTCCCCGCTGCTCCCCCCAAGCAGTGTGTTTCAGTAGATCCGCCTGTTCTGCTCCCCACTCTGTCACGGGGGAATCCTCTCACCCCCCCCCCAGCACCTCTCCAGCTCTACTATTCATAAATAAATCTTTAAGTAATAATAAAAATTTGCCACTTTCCTACTGATCATTAACCACAAACCTCACTCAGCTGACCGACAGGCTCAGAATGGGCCATACTGGCTTCTCCAGAAGTGGTTACATCCTGATGGTCAGCTGAAAAAGCAGCCCTGATTGTGACCTGCCTGGCTTCAACGCTTCGGTGAGTTCTGATTGGTTTGACTTATTATCCAGTTGGTTCAAATACTTTATAGGTACTTTGGGTTTATTTTAACAGCTGACAGCATCCAACTCTGGATGCTGCTGACAAAATAACCCCCAACCCTAATATCTTCCCTAAAAAAAAAAAAAAAAAAAAAAAAAGAAAGAGGAACCTAAGTGTGCACAGATGGTGCAAATGACAGATGTGTGAACTCCGCAGGTTGGGCCAGGGATGTGCTGGGATGTCTCTGGGACCAACACCTGCACTTGACTCCAGGCGGCAGCAACACAGACGCCTCACAGGCGTGATGCAATTGCACCATGACATGCCCCTACTTCTTGTTTTCTGGGGGAAACTCCTTAAAGCTGAGCTCCAAGAACCGTTGACAGACAGGGGCGGGGAGGGGGCTTTCCATCTGCAACAGGATATTTTGCAACCCCAGCGATACTTTTTGCAATAGAGGCATTTCTGAGTCAGGAACTTGTTGAAAAGTGGTGTTTTGATGCCACAGGTGGCTTTCTAGGTGAAGGGAAGGTCACAAAACTTTCAATTTTTGAGGTTCCAGAAATTTTGTTAAATGACGGTACGGGAAGAAAGGACTGGAGCCCTCTCTGTGCATTTTTTTTTTAAAAGATTTTATTTTTTTTTATTATTATTTTTTTAAAGATTTATTTATTTATTTACACAAGCACTGGGTACAGTCAGAGGCACGGGAGGGTGAGAGAATTCACCAGAGCCAGGGCGGGGAGCAGAACAGACAGACTGATGAAGTACACTGCTGAGGGGAGCAGCGGGCGGCAGGAGAGGTCTGCACGCCATGTGGGACCCTCGCCGGGCTGCCGGGGATCGAACCAGTGCTGCAGAGGCTGCGGGCAGCCTCGCAACCCAGCGCTCAACCACTGCACCACCGGGGAGGCCCTCTCTGTGCATTTTAAAGGTCCATTTTAGCAATCGCAGTTGAGCGGTGATGAACTCTTCTCTCTCATACCTCTGTGGCTGCATGTGTGCCCTTGGGACGTGATGGCCCTAAAGCCAAGGCAGCTGCTGCAAAGGGGGCCACACTCTGCTCTATTCCTATGTAATGAGCAGCCCAGACCCCCCAACTCTGTTCTGATCACCAAGATTTCACTCTTCACCACATTCAGTATTTGTTGGAATTTTAAAATCAATATGTATTACTCCCAGAAGAAGAAGAAAAGATCATTTTATAAAGTCCCCCTCTGTTCTGGGGCAGCCCCAACAGTTAATCATTCTCTTCTGATGGGTTGATTGACAAGCTTAAACACGGCTGGGAAGCTGGCCAGGACCCTCCATTGAACTCATCTCTGCTGAGCGCCTGCTCTGTGCCAGCCACTGTTCTAGGGACTGTGATTCAGAGATGAGCAGAACAGAGTTCCCAGCAGAGCTCATGTTCTCATGGGGAAGTGCGGTCAGATAATGAAGAAGTATGTGTCTGTGATCAGGATGCTCAGGGAATAAATCACAGCACAACAGGGGGTCAGGGAATGCAGAGACTGGCTTGGTATTTTAAGTAGCATGGGCATTTCAAGTAGGTGTGTTTTAACAAGACTGAGGGGCTGAACATTCCACAGCTAGCTACAGTGAGTGCCAAGGTCCTGGGGTAACTGTGCTGAGAGGTCAGATCATGTAGGGCTTCCAGGCCACGGTGAGTACTTGGCTCTTCCGAGGTGAGGGGCCACTGGCGAGTTTGAGCAGAGTAGTGACTTCATCTGACTTGTGCTTTAAAGTAATCACTCTGACATCTGCAAGCAAGGGCAGTGGAGAAGAGAAGGTGGAAGCTTGAAGAGAAGGTGGACTATTCAAGCACTCTGCAGAGTCCAGGCAAGGGAGGTGGGGCCTTGAAGCAAGTTAGAGTCAAAGGAGGTAGTGAAGAGGGGTCAGATTCTTGGTAGTATGGAAGGCAGAGCTCAAATGAGGTGGAGGCTTTGGCGGCTGAAGTGTGTGCAAGAGATGACACCACTGTTTTGACCAGATGACATAAAGGGCACTGACTTTACTTTAAGGAGCTCACGGTGAAGCCTGAAGGCAACCGGGAGTTTCTGGAGGGTCTGATTCTCCACAGGGTGAGCAGGAGGAACTTGGGCATCCCATCTACCCGATCTACTGCTCTGGCCCGGCAGGGGCTAAGTCTCAGGTCTGTGAAGCTACCTGCAGCCATTGCTAGCTCGGCCTCTCCCTGGGAAACATACTTGGAGCTGTACTATCTGGGAGAAGCCACAACTCTTGGTGGGGGGGTGGTGAGAAGTGGAGAGGATGCCAGCTTCCCGAAGTGGGAGCAGGGGGCGACCTTGACCTGTGCAGTAATAGGCTTTGAACTGCAAAGTGGTCGCTGGAAGCCAGAGGTCTGGTAGGCTTTGAAGCGCTCACCACAGTCCCCTGGATGGAGAGTAAGTGCGTGTTCGTTTCACTGTTAATTTTTCACCGCATTTAAACATTTTATCAGAAACATTTTGAAAAGAAGAAAAAGCAGCAGTAGCCCCGCGGGCTGCGGGTCAGCGCACCGCACAA